CTTACTAATACTCGCCTGGTTGGGAACCACAAAGCAGGAGACACTGCCCACTGCCACCAAAAGAAACAACAGTCTCATTATTGGGAATGAAAATGAAATTGAACAAAGATACCCAATAATTGATAACGAAGCAACAGCAACCAGCAATAACGATCTTTCGTGGAGAGCCAAAGTACGGCCAGTGACGAGATAAGTCTTGTCTATTAGTACTGAAATTTTTATATGACATGGTAGGACGATAATGTCTCTAAGTAAAAGCACCGTCAGTACAACTGTCACAGTGATTTGAAAATTGTAGAGTTATGCGTTGCAGGATTGGATCATCTCAACGGCACTCGCCTAAGTCCACCGGCAAGGTGCGTCGTACCTCTGCTCACATTTTGGATCTTCCGTACCGTAAAGTCGTGAACTCGAAAGTCGTCGAGTCATTGAAAAGCTACAGTGCACTACAGCAGAGCTACTACATCACCATGTTGTTTACTGCTAGTCATGTATTTAAAGAGTGGCTAGATGTTAATGATCGCTACCCTTACAATGAGATGAGGAAAACCAGGCAGACTTATGTATGCAAGCATGTTTTGCTTGAGGATCAAAGTAACAGGGAAGACAGTAGAACCCAGTACTATCTTGTAAAGACCAGATACCTTTCCAGTGGCATCCTTGAGCAACTCATCATGGAAGGGAATGCGCTGCCAATGACTCCTGATCAGACTTGGCTCTTGGAACAGATGTTTGTGTGGGGTGTCAGGCACAGCAATGAATGGTACAGTGAAGTTCTTGCTGAGCTTGCATGGGAAGTGTATGAGCATGAACCTGTCACAAGGAAAGAGATGTGCAAACAAGCAATCAAACCACTTATGAGAGGTGCCCTTTATCAGCAAGGTATTGGTGGAGACCATATTGAAGTCAAGTCATTGTTACTTACAGAGTGGGAAGAGTGGTTTGACACAGAGTGTTGGAGCCAGCACAAGAACAACCTGAGTGGTATGGCAATCAGTAGTGAGCAGTACATTTCCCATAGAGCTGCATTCACTCTCCATCATGGTGGCTACTCTTACCCAATGCACCTTGACTGATTCATGTCTGAAGAGTAATGGAAGCAGCAACTGTTAGATTGTTGTTGTTTGTTATCCAATTAATGGCCAAAGTAACAACAGTATTAGTGCAGCGAACTTACATTTTTTGGCTTTGTAAACCAATCATTTGCCACTGCCACACACAATCGGTGGGTTGGTTTCTTGCACTTGGGACCAAAAGGGATGGCATTGCCTTCATTGTCAACATGGAATCGCTTCATCTCATAGCATTTTCCACAATGTAGTCGCTTGCACCCATCATGCATCCCTTCAATGCTCAAGTGATCCGACTTGAGCCATCCACATCCTTTGCAGTATTTGCGAGACCGGAAAACAGGAGGGGCTGTTGGCTGTTGTCGCGAGTTGGGTATCCGTGGCCCATTAACTGTCAAAGGGGCACGCCCATTGTTGGTAGCAGCAGCAACGATTGCACGTGCTATTTCGGCATTCAAAGTTGTCGGATTGCCAAAGGGAGTAATGCCACCGGGTTGGCGAATGTATGGTATTGCAGTCACTGTTTGTGGTGTCGGCTGAGGAATCTGGCGTCGGTTCTGGCGAATTGTTTCATGTAATTGCTCTCTCGCAGGATCATTTTGGCGAGGCATGACGGCGTGCAAACTCTTTTGTTGCTGTATAGCATCGTAGTGGAGTTGCAGTTGCAAGCAGCTCTTCAGGCGCGGTACAATGACATCGGTGTCATGGGAGCATGAATCTTTGAATCGCTTGGAGACCATTTCATTCCATCTTCTGGCGAAGACATGGTAGGATTTGTTGCCACTAGCCTTTCGGCCGTAAGAAGGTGACATCAAATCGAACAATCGTGACTCCTCATTGTCAACATCAGTGGCCGGAGTGGTGCTATCCAATTTTCGAAAGGGTATCCATGGCAACTTGTGACTTAGACGCTTGAAAACATCCAGAGTAGACTCTCGCTTGTTGGTGTCAGGAAGTAATTCCTTGAGTGCAGACTGGATCGCATCCCGGTTGGTCCAATCGTTTCTCTGTGCTTCTAATGCAGCCTCATCGTCCATCTGTTCTTCTTCATCGGTGCCACCAGAGTTGACTGGATCATCGTCGAACACAATTTCAATGTCTTCTTCGGCACAGCCATCGCGCAAAGACTGCATGACAGCCTCATCTTCAACTATGTCTTGGTCGTCTTCTTCATTCTCATCGTATGCAGTACCGGCACTGGTTCCGTCCGTAGGATTGGACACATCGGCAATTTCTATCTTGTACGTGAACCCCATCATTTCTTCTGGATTGTTAGGAGCTGTTGTCGGTGCTGACACTTTCCTATATGGCTCTTCCTTGAAACCTACAGCAAGGGCATAATCATTCAAATTGAGAAGACGCTCAGTTTGATAGGTACCATGATCCTTTTCACCCAGTCGCTTAACAGCTTTTCTATGATTCCTTTTTTCGAAGAAAGTCATAATGAAACGTTCTGCTTTGTGGAGGCTTACAAGTAAAACAGATAAGTAAGTGTGAGAATCGCTTGTCATTGCCGCCACCATAATTCCAAGTGGACGTTACTCACCAACAAAGGTGGAAGACAACAGAGTCGCCAAATCCAAATTGTCTCTCTCATTGCTGTTGGTTCCCCTGGCAATAAACACCTTGTCATCCACGGCGTTATGGCGAAACAGGTTGACTAAGTGGGGATCCGGGTCTGACAGGCAGTCATTGTCGATGTGTTTCATCTGTTCTTGGATTCGTTGCCTCACACCATTTTTCTTAAAGAATTTTCGTGGCTTTGGCGACTCATCTTCTTCTGCTCTGGTGGACAAAACATGTTCGGTCTCTGCATCTTTCGCTTGGATGTAGGCAAGTACTGCTTCCACATTGGACCGGAGCAGTTCCTTGGGCGGTATAATAGAACGTGCTTCCCTCTTGATGTCATTTACAGTGGGATTTGTTTTCCCTTTTTCTTCCAGTCTTTCCCTCGCCGCTGTGTACTCTTCATTGCTGATGTTGAATATTGCCTGACTCATGAGTGCACGGAAGACACCGGCTAATTCCTTGCTTGCGTCTTCAAGAATGTCAGTCCATCTCTTCAACCAATGGAATGCGTCCAGCTTGGGTTGAACTCCTGGAAAGCACCGCCGGATAATGGATTTCACTTGACAGCAGTTATCCACATATGCTACCTTCACTGACTGTTCCAACGGCCCATGTCTTTTGTCCAACAAGTCCTCTGGCACATGCGCGGCATCACCACCAAACAGATCTGCATGCAAGGCCTGGTACTTTTTGGAGTACTCGATTCTTGCATTCTCTTTTTGGAGTTGCAAGTTTCTGTTCAGTCGATTCCTCAGTCGGACAAGGTCTTCCTCGATCTCTGAGAAGGACTCAGAGTGCTTGAGCGCCTTCCAAAATATGGTCAAATCATCCTCATTTTGAATGGTAACAATACACTTGTTTGGGCCAAACTCTCACCTTGGATGCAATCTTGTAATTGAAATCCACTTTGATGAGTGTGGCAGACTGGCACATCATCTTGCTCTCCATGAATGCCTTTCTGTGATGGAAAACAGCGGTCACAATTTGGTCAAGACGGTGTTTGCTGAGCACACGCCCATTATACCCCTGCTTGTCGGTGAATTCAGACCAAGTGGGTAGTTCAGCTGGATCAACCTGCGCTGTTTGTTCTTCTGGAGTTGGCACACTGTCTGGACGTCTTGCATAAGGATTTACGGCTGCACGCCTTTCTTGTTCTGCCTTGAAGTTATCCAGTGCTCTTTTGGCGTCAACAAAATCTGTAGTCAAATTATTGTATTTAGCCAGTGCAGCTTCAACGTCGTCATTCAACTTGCTGTAGTGGGCTCGCACTATTTCCTTCCACTTAGGAAGAAGCTTTCTCATTCGCTTCCCGTACCCACGAGGATCAACTGTGAGGAGTTCCTTTGCTGTTGGTATTCCGTACTCCATTAAATTCTGTATCTTGGTCGGACCCAGACCAGGAATCAAATTCCTTGTACCAACGACGTTGTGGTTCTTTTTGGATTTCAACAAATCAGCGAAAGCAATGTCCTCCCCATGTACCCGTCTTGCATCTTGGAGATCAAGATCCGCTTTGATCTTGTGTGTTTGTGAAGATTCGAAACGACGTTCCAGTTTCACAAGAGCACTGTCACGCTTGGTTCTTTTTGGCAAGTACCTATCCATTGTCTTCTGTTTCTTCCGCGGTCGAATCTTCTTCGATCCAATGGCTGTCAAGAACATCTGATGATCCCCAAGATACGCAAGCTGCGCAAATGTCTTCAGCCGGTCTGCAATGGTGGAGGTTGCCTCTGTTGCGGCTTCTTCAACTATAAACCGGTGCAATTCTTCATCCACCGCGTAACGTTCACCCAAATAGAAAGTGAAGTACCCATAATACACGTCTGCGTCTAGCTGCATTGCCTTCTTGTTATATCCTGCAAACGACTTATTGCATTGCTGGCATGGGTACAGCATGGTGTCCAAATATCGGTGTCGCTCCTTTCCGTAGAGGATTTTGGGATTGTTGATCCAGCGGGCCTTGGCCACACTCACATATTTGTTGCTTTCACAATGCGGGCAGGTTGGCGTGTGGGTTGGGATGAGTATATGGGGGACCCAACAAGCAATTCCCTTGATGTAGAAAGAGTCCACGGTCCACGTTCTCTTATTTTGCGCATTCAGCAATGAGCTATCATGCCGACCACCATTGTAGGGTTTGATGTCTCGCCAGTCCTTCCCATCAAAGTATCCTGGATTTCCCTTCACTTCAGACCTGACCTGGTTAATGAATGCATCTTGCGCTTCTCCATATTGCGTTGGCATGGTCGAACTATCAACAAAAACAAGCAAAATAGAAGACCGAATGGAGCAATATCATCGTGGAGTTGAGTCTATCCAATCCAATTTGTGAGGAGACATGCGCCGAATTCTTTGGGGTAGGGCTAACGGCCACATCCAATGTTTCACCCTCTAATTAGCTTTTTCGTTAGTTTTCTACAAGACTACTGTAAAGTTTCGTTGAATGGTATAAGTAGTAGAGTTAGAATAGGTTGGATGGAGTCATTGGAAGGTGGAGATATAGAGCACTGCAATTGTGAGAGATAGAGGAGGGATGCTGAGGACGTCATAGGTCGTCTGACCTCCCCCCCTCCTTTCTTTTCTCCTCTTGGGCGAAACCTACGGTTTCGCAGACCCAAAGTACCGGTAACAGCTTGCTTGTGGTTTGTAAGTGTTGTTGGGTTGACACCCAAACTGGATCTCGAGGTGCCGTGAAAAACGTCACTCACGACGCGACGCACATAATTCATCATTAGGAATAAGGGTACGGTATGGACTTCAACGCGCTGATAACAAAAATTAGAGGTGCAGATATGCTTTAAGGATTTCTTAGAATGTCTTTGCGGGTCCACAGCAATTAGGCCCCTTCGGGAGAGTCTTAATATCAACGATTACACTTACCCTTCTCTATGCCTTGTTGAACAATGCCGCTGTGCCCGAAGCCACAATGACCCCTGGCGAAGCCCAAACCATCTCACTTCCCACGCCACATTCCCGTTCGCCGAGAACGACAACGGCAAACCACCAACAAAGCAACAAGCAACTGCCTTGCAAAGGCAAACCATCCTTTCCACTGACTGGACCGAAGATCTCTCGTGCTCATAGCATACAGTTAGCTACTCTAGCTGTAGAATACCATACCATACCATACCATACCATACCATACCATACCATACCATAACATACCAGACTTGCCGACGATGCCGATCAACAACAACAATCAAAGGATACGAAAGCGCCAATCTTCTGTTTCTGCGACAAGAAGGAATTGGCAAACCATGGTGATGCTGCTGCTGGTTTCCGTGGTAGCACTGTGGATGCTTCCCCGGGAAGTCTGTGCGTGGGTACCTCCCATCTCGCCCGATAGACAACTCAATACAGAATGGGAGTCGGTCCATGACATGAGGAGACGATTGCAGGTCTCGTCCAACTACACACCGTCGGCATTGCATGCCGAAAGTTGCCGCCATTTCACAGACGCACAATGTCAAAGTGCCGATCAGGCCATGCGGGCACACGCACAAAAACAACGGCACAAATACTCCCTCTACGGTCAAGCCGGAAATCGACAGGGCACCACCGTCAAAGTACTGGTACTGCTACTCACATTTACCGATCATACCAATCGTCCCAAGGTGGCCAAGGCGGATATTGAAAATCGATGGAAGTCGTTGGGTAAGTTTGACTTGATTGGTTTAGTTTAGTTGAGTTCATACACATGTAAAAACACACTACAACTATTCCAACTCACATCACTCACTCAATCACTCACTAACTCACTAACTCACTAACTCACTAACTCACTAACTCACTACTACTGTACTATAGTCAAGGACTGGTTCCGCGTCAACAGTCACGGCAACTACAACATTGATCCCTACGTCACCGAATGGATTGTCACGGACAACTCGGAATCCCACTATGCTGCAGGGCAATCGGGATTCACCACGGACCTCCACAGAATGGCATGGCCTGCTTTGAATCAGTTGGATAGAACTGCTGGGTGGAGTTGGCAAGACTTTGACCAAGATGGGGACAACGAGTTGGACAGTGTCATCATGATCCACAGCGGTTATGAGGCTTCCATTACGGCCAATGATCAATATGGGACTCCCTATGCAAACCGCATTTGGGCGCATGCGTATGCACTGGGGTCCAGTGAAACATCCTGGACGTCTCAAGATGGCTCCGTATCCATGAAAGTGTACACCGTCGCATCGTCCTTGGAAGGCTTGACGGGGACAGATATTGCCACCATTGGAGTGACCTGTCATGAATACATGCACACCTTTGGATTGCCGGTACGTTTGTTCCTTCGTTCATGCATGTTGTGCTCTAGACATTTATACAAAAGCAAATGATGATGAGTTGGCCCTGACTGACTGACTGACATTGTGCATGGTCTGTTTGTTGTTTTGGCCCAAACAGGATTTGTATGACCTTTCGGACCGGACACTTCCCGGAATTGGGGAGTTTGGCATCATGGCATGGCCCTATGGTCCCAATGATAATGGGAATCTTCCTGGACATTTGAATGCCTGGAGTCAAAAGGAAGTGGGGTGGCTGGCACCAACTGTCATTCAGAATGATGGAATCTACACATTGGAGCCGCTGGAACAAAACTCGAAGGCATATGAAATCACCCTCAGTGAGTTTGGCTCCATTAGAGAAAACCTGCTGTTTGAGAACCGGCAACCGCTGGAGTTTGATGCAGATTTCAAGGGAGCTGGCCTTGTGATCTATCACATTGATAATTCTGTCAATGGTCAAACCAATTTGGGATATCCTGGCCAATCTGGGTGGCCAGAGAATGGCTTGCACTATGAAGTTGCTCTGTTACCAGCAGATGGATACTATGATTTGGAAAGGGGAAACAACCGAGGTGACGCTGGTGATATCTGGCAACCAGGACAAGAGCTGGGATCTGGACAAGGCAATACAGTCTTCCCCAACACAGATGTCTACTCGGGTGGCTTTGTCTTTGAATCAGGGTACACAATAAAAGTCTTGGCAAATGAAGGCCAAAATGTCAGGTTTGAAGTCATTGGTGTGGGCCCAGCCATAACACCCAGTCCTACCCCAGGGGCAACAACAGCACCACCTTCTCCTGCTCCGACTACGGCAAAGCCTACAGCTAGTCCTACCAAGACCCCAACAACAGCACCACCTTCTCCTGCTCCGACTACGGCAAAGCCTACAGCTAGTCCTACCAAGACCCCAACAACAGCACCACCTTCTCCTGCTCCGACTACCGCAAAACCTACAGCTAGTCCTACCAAGACCCCAACAACAGCACCACCTTCTCCTGCTCCAACTACAGCAAAGCCTACAGCTAGTCCTACCAAGACCCCAACAACACCACCCCCTTCTCCTGTTCCAACTACTGCAAAGCCTACAGCTAGTCCTACCAAGACCCCAACAACAGCACCCCCTTCTCCTGCTCCAACTACAGCAAAGCCTACAGCAAGTCCCACAAAAGCACCAACAACATCACCACCTTCCCCTGCTCCAGTCACGGCAGGCCCAACAGCCAGCCCAACAAAAAAACCAACAACATCACCACCTTCCCCTGCTCCAGTCACGGCAGGCCCAACAGCCAGCCCAACAAAAAAACCAACAACATCACCACCTTCTTCTGCTCCTACCACAGCAAGCCCAACAGCCAGTCCTACACTTGCTGCAACAACAGCAGCTCCTTCGTCATTGCCAACTACAGGCGGCCCTACTGTTAGTCCAACAAGAATCCCAACAACGTCACCACGAACTGGTGCCCCTGCGACTTCTACTCCTTCAGCAATTCCGACAACAGGAGCAACCACAGGGTCACCGTCTGTTGCTGCTACGTCAGGGATTCCTTCATCAGGAGCAACGTCAGTGACGCCTTCTGTTGTTGCTACTACCGTCACTCCTACCCTGGGCACTACTTCATTTACACCTTCCATTGTTGGCACAGGTGCAACATCAATGAGACCTTCCACTGCTACTACTACAACGAATCCTTCACTGGGAGCAACATCAGTAACACCATCCTTTGTTGGCACAGGCGCAGTCTCGATGAGACCTACATCTACTGCTACTTCAATTTATCCTTCACTGGGAGCAACATCAGTGACGCCATCTTTTGTTGGGACTGGCACTGTTTCAATGAGACCTACTTCTACTACCACTTCAATATATCCCTCACTTGGAGAAACATCAGTGACACCATCCTTTGTGGGGACTGGTGATGTTTCACCTAGACCCACATCTGCTGGTACTACATTGAATCCCTCTATGAGCACAACAACAGCAGCACCCTCTGGAGCCGCCACCACAGTGAGTCCAACATTAAGGGCAACATCAGTGTCCCCTTCTTTAGTTGGGACATCGGTATCCCCTTCACTTGTTGGGACATCAGTGAGTCCTTCTACAACTCCGCCAGCACCCCAACCTTCCCCTTCCCCAACATCAAATCCACCAACAATCCAACCATCCATAGTCACTGCAATGCCGACCAAAGCACCAACGACAAATGCACCCAGCAAAGTCCCAACTAAGACGCCAACAACTCCAAAGCCAACAGCGTTCCCCCCGCCACCACCAAATCAACATCAAGCAGTCCGTCCTTTCCCGCCATTTTGGTTTGGTAATGGAAGGGAGTCTCCGCCAACACAAGTACCAGGCAATGTCTTCAATACACCACCAAGGGAGTCTCCACCAACACAAGTACCAGGCGGTGTTTTCAATACACCACCAAGAGAACCAACTGCAGTTCATCATGCAAATGGGCTTCTTGACACCTCGGCACAAGATGGCTTAGTAGATACAGACGGGGAATTCATGGAAGAGTCTGTGGGGGTCACAAGACCTCCAGGATCTGTTAGTGGCGCACCTGTATCCAACGAGCCTCCTACCTCTGAGGCTGGATCTCGCGAAGAGCCCGTTCTTATTGCAGCCGGCACCTTCGCAAGACATCCATCATCTGCGGGAACAGGACAAGACGATGTCACTGGCACCAGAGGAAGACCTCCCGTGTTTTATGCTAGTGTTGAATACTCCACCGCCAGCCCTCATGCCAAAGCCATCTCATGCCTCCGGTGGTCTGTCTTGTTTACCGCTTCAACCACCCTGGTGCTGTCGCTGTCAGCGGGTGTGACCTTGCGATAGCACTCTATCGCGACACGACCACACGATGCATAGCGAGAGAAGGCAGCTTCGGTTTCACCCGTAACATCGTGGTTCCTTTTGCTTGCTGGGTTCTGTTGTTCGCGCATGAACTGGCTGGAGGAGTGAAAGCGACGGCAAGTCTAACCCAACGTAGACCATGCTTTCCAGCTGTGACGTAGCCTTGCGTGCAGCATCTGCTGCTGCTACAGTACACTCGCTTCGACGCAGTCGGTGGAAGAAATTCAGCCCTTCAAAAAGCATACTAAGAAAATGGTGTTCTACGAGCTAGCTAGTTTCATCAGTTCGTGTGGACCGGCACACCTTGTAGTTGGCTGTCAATCCGTGGCGATAGGGAGACGGAAAATGACGCCCATTTCGCTGTCTGCTTTCAGCGAGAGCATCAACGGGTTGCTCACCCTGCACTTCACATGAGAAGTTGCACGCTGCCAGGTTTCCCTGCTTGGACCGGTTGTTTCTACCTGTGTTGTCGCAACCCCGTTTGCTTCCCGAAACTTCATAATACTAGCCACCGTAGCTGGTTCGCAACCCGTTCACAATGGCAGTTGCCTCGTCAGTGAGACGATGCTTCTTTCCACGGGGTCTCGATTGAAAGCTCCCTCGTCATAGCTAGCTACTAGGCATCTAGCGCCAGTTATCTAGCCTTGGCTGTCTACATACATGTAGTCTACCCAAACGGAGATTGCTGGCCATGCACCTGACGACCGGGATTCCTCTGAAATTTGCTAGTTTTGAGATAAAAACTGCATGGATCAAGAAGGCGTTCCAAGTTTCTAATCGTCAAACGACGTCGTCTTTTTCTTGGTCTGTTGGTGTTTGTTTTTGAAGAGTGTGTCGGGGAAAGAGGAGAGCTTGGGGGTTGCTGGAGAATGGAGAAAAGATGGCATCCATTTTGTGAGGAGCTGTCAAGAACATCAAGAAATGACTGCCCATCCATTTTTACTTAAGAGGTTTTTCGGATGACTGTCACAGAGTCACATCCAGAATAATAACGAGCAGACGAGCACAGTGTGATCGGGGTTTATGCCTCCACTTCATCAACCACCAACCCACCCCAACATCAGCTTTCTCACTCCAACAACCGGATTCTCACGAGAAAAACGGCGACCACCAGCAATATTGTCGACCACTTCTCATCGGACCAACAACCCTTCAACAATAACAACAGCAGCAGAAAACAACCATGGTGAAGAATAGAAAAGCTAAAAAGAGACCAAGCCAGAGGAGAAGGGGGTATCTGCATACTACTAGGGGTATAATGGCGAATCATCAAGAAGGGAATCAAGGGCGACGGTCTCCTCGGGTTTGGCTAGTTGTTCTGATTTCTTTGGCAATAATATTTCTTCCAAAAGAACAATCACAAGCGTACGCAGCAGACCCCGGGCAAGGCGAAGAAAGGGGATGGGAATCGGTGGGGAGACCAGTGGCCAAGCGCCAGACGCCATCCGCGCTGCATGGCAAGGTTTGCTTGTATCTGACAGAGGCTCAATGTCGAGAGGCAGATGAGACATTGAAACGACACGCCACAAGACGGAGAAGACACAGTTCCAACGCCCGTGGCAGTTTTAGCTTTACCGTACCAAGCAAAGTCTTGGTACTGCTCGTCACCTTTTCAGATCAGGTTGATCGTCCACATGTTCCTCAGACGAGTATATCGGAAGTCTGGAGTACCATGAGTAAGTTCCGAAGGTGTACTTCGTGGCGCAATTTTGGCGTTCGGTGGGCTAACGCCCCGTCTTTTATTTCATGCATCCCACCAGTCAAGGACTGGCTCAGCGTCAACAGCCACGGTCTCTACGATATCGATCCTTACGTCACAGAATGGATAGTAACCGACAACACAGAAGCCCACTATGCGGCAGGTGCATCTGGATACACAGCTGACTTGCACAAAATGGCTTGGCCAGCCCTAAATCAGTTGGACAACACAACTGGGTGGAATTGGCAAGATTTTGACCAAGATAATGACAATGTTTTGGACAGTGTTGTCATAATCCACAGTGGCTATGGTGCCGAGACAAGCTCGCTTGATCAATATGGGACACATTATTCACAACGCATTGCAGCCCATACACGGGCTCTGACCTCGGATATTGTACCATGGACATCCCAAGATGGGTCTGTCTCCTTTCAAGTGTACACTGTAGCATCATCCTTGGATGGCGTCTCTGAAGTCAGCATTGCTACCATTGGTTTGACATTGCATGAGTACATGAAAACATTTGGATTGCCAGTAAGTTGTCAGCTTTTTTTTAAAGGATAAACTGGGAAAGTGCCACTTGTCTCCTTCTCATTATCTATCTTCCATCACTCTGGACAACTAGGCATTGTATGATCAAACCGATGCAAGCTTGCCTGGAATTGGTGAATTTGACATAATGGCATGGCCCTATGGGCCTAAAAATGGGAATGTTCCAGGCCATTTAAGTTCTTGGAGTCAAAAGCAAGCTGGGTGGCTTTCACCAACCCTCATACAAAACGATGGAAACTACACCTTACAGCCCCTGGAGCAGTTTGCTGAGGCATATGAAATCAATCTCTACGAATTTGGTTCCACAAGGGAGTACTTGTTGTTAGAAAACCGTCAGCCACTAGAGTTCGATGCAGATTTCTGGGGAGCTGGCCTTGCTATCTATCACATTGATGAAGCAGCCAATGGTCAAACAAGCTTAGGATATCCTGGCCAAGCAGGGTGGCCTCAGAATGGTAATCATTATGAAGTTGCAGTGTTACCAGCTGATGGGAACTACGATCTTGAACAGGGAATCAACCGTGGTGATGTAGGGGATATCTGGCAGCCAGGACAACAGCTTGGACCCGGACAAGGCAGCACAGTCTTCCCAAATACAGATGCTTACCCTGATGGCTTTATCTTGGAATCTGGGGCAACAGTAAAGGTCTTGGCTGGAGAAGGACAGAATGTCAAGTTTGAAGTAATCGGTGTGGGCCCACCACTCTCATCAAGTCCATCTACAAGTCCTTCTACCTCCACCCAACCTACATTAATAAATCAGCAATCAACTGGTCCATCTGCAATGAACAACAGCACCAATGTTACCTCTGCTCCTGAACCCAGTCCATCTCCCAGCAGCTCCAACTCAACCTTTGCTCCCAGTGGCAGCAACAACACCAATGCTACTTCTGCTCCTGGACCCAGTCCATCTCCCAGCAGCTCTAACTCAACTTTTGCACCCAGTGGCAGCAACAACACCAATGCTACTTCTCCCAGTGCCAGTCCAACCTCTGAATTCCCCACTACTGAAATGCCAACTACTGGATTGCCCACAGTGACACCTGGAAGCCCTTCTGTAGCACCCACAACCTTGAGCCCAACAACAGCAGTGCCCACCACAGGGTTGCCTACAACATCAGGACCAACAGTTGTACCAGGCTCACCAAGTGCAGGTCCAACCACTGGTGTCCCCACCACCCAAACACCTACAGTGACTCCTGGGAGCCCATCACTGGCACCCACCACTACAGGCCCCTCAACGAACTTTCCAACAACACAAACTCCAACCACTGTGGGGCCCACTGTCACTCCTGGGTCTCCCAGTGCCAGTCCAACATCTGCATTCCCCACTACTGGTGGACCCACAACTGGGATGCCCACAACTGTATTGCCCACAGTGACACCTGGAAGCCCTTCTGTAGCGCCCACGACCTTGAGTCCAACAACAGCAGTGCCAACCACAGGTTTGCCTACAACATCAGGACCAACAGTTGTACCAGGCTCACCAAGTGCAGGTCCAACCACTGGTGTCCCCACCACCCAAACACCTACAGTGACTCCTGGGAGCCCATCACTGGCACCCACCACTACAGGCCCCTCTACAAACTTTCCAACAACACAAACTCCAACCACTGTGGGGCCCACTGTCACTCCTGGGTCTCCCAGTGCCAGTCCAACATCTGCATTCCCCACTACTGGTGGACCCACAACTGGGATGCCCACAACTGTATTGCCCACAGTGACACCTGGAAGCCCTTCTGTAGCGCCCACGACCTTGAGTCCAACAACAGCAGTGCCAACCACAGGTTTNNNGACTCCTGGGAGCCCATCACTGGCACCCACCACTGCAGGCCCCTCTACAAACTTTCCAACAACACAGACTCCAACCACGGTTGGGCCCACTGTCACTCCTGGATCTCCCAGTGTCAGTCCTACTGTCTTTTGCCCCACAGCTTGTGCTCCCTCTATTGGATATCCCACTGTTACTCCTGGAAGCCCTTCTCAAAGGCCCACAAGTGCACTACCAAGCACTGTGACTCCTTCCACCTTAGGTCCCACAGTAACTCCGGGATCTCCAAGTGCCAGCCCAACATCTGCATTCCCCACTACTGGTGGACCCACAACTGGTATGCCCACAACTGAATTGCCCACAGTGACACCTGGAAGCCCTTCTGTAGCACCCACAACCTTGAGCCCAACCACAGCAGTGCCAACCACACGTTTGCCGACTTCTGGTGTCCCAACATCCCTTTCCCCCACTGTGAGACCTGGAAGCCCCTCTGTAGCCCCCACCACAAATATTCCAACCACAGGAATGCCAACAACTTCCCCCCCTTCAACAGTTGGTCCCACTGTCCTTCCAGGATCTCCCAGTGTCAGCCCCACCACAATGAATCCAACTGCAATATGTCCCAGTGCTTGTTTACCTACAGTTGGAATCCCCACTGTTACACCTGGAAGCCCATCGCTAGCCCCTTCGACTGGTCTCCCAACTACTCAGACACCAACACCACCAACACCAGTACCTTCAATATCTCCATCTCGGACACCATCTCTAAGGCCAACTTCAGGAACTGGTAATGGTCCATCAGCTTCACCATCAAATGCCCCATCTGATGTCCTCCCACCGTGGTTGCCACCGAACTATCTAAAAGGGGTCCGCCCTTTCCCCCCACAACTGGCCAGGAATGGAGCTGCGCCCCCCGCATTGTTGCCACCTTTGTTGCAGAAACCAACAAGAGCTGACGAGTCTGAATCCGATGAGGCTGAAACGGATGAGGCTCAAGAACGAGATGGCACAACAGATACTGACCAGCTCAATCTTCATGAATCTGTTGGAGTCACAAGGCCTCCAGTGTCTGCTCGTGCTGGTTCTGAATCTATGAAGAAAGCTGGGACGGATCCAATCCTGATCATTCAACAAGAACAAGGTGGCACTACGGATACTGATGGGGAGGGGAAACCAGCTCCTTCTCCAACTCCTGATGACGCCACTAGAACAGAGCCAGTCCTTATTGCAACTAGCACCAGCACCAGACGTCCATCCTTTGTGGCCAGAGGAACAGAGCCTGTCATAATTGCATCAAGCACCAGCACCAGAGCTCCATCCTTCAAGGCCTGGCGTCAGACAGAGCCAGTCCTGATCGCCTCTAGCACCAGCGCAAGGGGCCCATCTTCTTCCAGAACAGGTCATGTCTTTGTTGCAACCAGCACCAGCACCAGGCCTCCAGTCTTTGGAACAGCACAAACAAGTCCTACCTCTGGGACACATTCGATTGCGCAGATGCTCTCTGCTGCCATGACTGCACTTGTGGCATTGCTCTTGACCTAGCATTGGCAAAAAAGGTATTGATTGACTTCGTAAAGAAACTTGTGGACCTGCTTGGTGGCTAGTAGCGATCTAAAGGCAGGCTAAGAATGACCAACAATATGTCAGAATTTAAGTTAGGGTCTCTTGCATACAATTCAATTCTTGTCTACGTTTCTTCTGCCTTTCTGTTGGGTTGCTTTGCTCGTTTGATGATTGTCCAAATCCAAACAATTGCAATAAAGGAGCCTGCTAGCTAGCTAGCAGTGGAGTGAGGGGTTTAGAGTATGGAAGTTATCTACAGAAGCCAGCGAGGTGCAGGCTTCTAAAGGCAAAGAAGAGTCGAAATTCAGGACTACTAGTATTATTTATTTGCTATGTTGGTTGCAATCCCACGCTTAGGGAACCCTGAAGGGGGCAGCAAGGAGGGGTAAGACCCAACCAAACTTATGGGTAACGTATCTATTTGGTGCATATTTTCTCACCAAACTGCAAAGTGAGAACGCCCTTACTCAGTGATGAGTGGCTACATTAATGCTCCGCTCAGTCTAGCTATCCTTCGATCCCGCCACCTCTCTCGTGTCCCTGCTGGAAGAATGAGCTACCGCCGTTCTCTCTGGGATGCCGATGGTGCACTTGCACTCTTCCGCTAATTTTGCCCCCCTCCCTCCCTCTCGCCTTCCCCTCTACTTCCCAGATTTGCTCATCACCCCCTCCTCTAGCCCCCATTTTGCCCTGCTCCCCTCCTCTCTGCTGATCCAGCTACCCACCAACAAAGCCACTGCTCTGTCTGGCTTAACCCCCCTCACTCCTTAAAAAAACGTAATTTGTATCTATTTGCCCTCAACTACCAGCTAGCAAGCTGAGGGCCTTTTGAACTTTATCTTGTGCGTGTGTGTGTGTGTGTGTGTGTGTGTGTGTGTGTGTGTGTGTGTGTGTGTGTCGCATACATATGGTGCGGTTTCCCTAGTAAGATTAAGGCTATCAAAGCGAACACGTACATATGGTGCGGTTTCCCTAGTAAGATTAAAGCTATCAAAGCGACTGATTAGCCTTGGCTTTAAGAAACATACAATAAAAATGAAACCTTTGCCTTTAGATAAATGCTAGTTGAGGGCACTAGCCTACGGCCGTCTGTTCTTCTAAAGTATTTGTCCCCCCGCGAGAAAAGGGCATCACCATTCCATCTTTCCTGTTCCGTCTTTCCTTGGGTTTCCAAAGGAATATGCGATACCTTTGATGGCATCCATCCAGCATGTTGTCCCCATCGATCATGAGAGCTTCGTTGACTTGCCGAACTCGAGCGGGTACTAGTATCCGGTCCGGAACTTCAGTCTTTCTGCTTTGTTGTGATATTGCTGGCGATGCCACGAAGAATCTATCCAAGCGATCCTTCTCGGGCGATCACGGTGTTACTAGCGACCAAATCTACATGGCAGTGGTCCGCTACGACAACAACGTCGCAACTATCCCCTTTGTTGGCCCTGATCTCGAAGCCAAGAAGCTTCATGATCGCATGACCCGAGAAACCCACAAGCACCACGTCTATCTGATTCCGACCAGAAAGAAAAGCGTAGCCTCTGGACCCTACCAATCGCTTGACCAAGCCAAGAATGCACTGAAAGATGGCGAGAAACCAAATTAGACTCCACAATGTTGCTTCGACAAAACAATCCATACAAAATGCTATTGAATGATAACTAGGAAGAGTTGACATGGAAGCTTGAAAAGTTTCTATTGTATGTAGACGGAATTCTTGTATTCTTGTGACATAAAATGCAGGATCGGTTGCGATCCAAAATTTGTTTCCATTTGTGGAGTGAAGGAGTCTAGAGGTCGCCTGAGTGACTGTGAAGCTATTTTGAAGTTGGAGGGATGTGCTTGACTCGATTCGATTCGAATCCGAGGTTGGATGAAGTTGCATTCCAGCCATTGACCAATTTACTTCCACGGAAGGTTCCCTAAAGCCATCTACGGGAGTTTTGACTTTTTTTCAAGCTGTCGCGATTTGAGTCGCCTTTCACTTGTGCCACGAGCTCCTTGACAATTTCCTCTCCGCGCTCTTTCCATTCGTTGCGATTCTGGATGGCATATGTCAAGTACTCGTCCCCACTCACACCAAAGACTCCGCACTCCTTCAGTCTCTTGGCCAGTGGGATGATGTAGTTGTCAAAGAACCCAATCTCACCCATGTACCTGAAGAGTGGAGATGAAAACGAAAGTGGTTTAGATGCCCATGATCTGCTGATACCCTCTTGGATACAGGACCACGCAAGCAACGATCCTTCGTACGCACCAGAATGTCGAGGGGTCCTTCCCCATTCGGCCTTCGGTATACGCCTGATACATCTCCTGGAATAATCTCTCATTCCATTTTCTATACACGTGCCTGCAAATCGGTTGGTAAAGCAGCTGTGAGATTCACCCAGGAAGACAGGAACGCACTCCACCTGAGGCAGCCACCATGACATGACACAGCTCTCACCAGTGTTGCATTGTGTGGCACACGTCCGAAGCTTGAATGATGTATTCAATGACTATTGTGGCACGAAGATCGCTGATTTTGCTTTGATCACGTGCCTTCACTTCACCAGAAAAGGCACGTTCCCACCTAGATTTCCGCTGGAAATTGGAAGGAGAGAGAATAGGTCAGATGAGGAGAGTTGCACACAAAAGGCACACCAGAATTGGTTTTCTACACGTACAAGATCGCCCAATTCCTTGTCGAAAATGTCAGTGGCAAGAACCACATTCACAACCAGTTGTCGGAAACGTAGCAGATCTCCTTGGGTTGGGAAGAGGCAACGTCGCAGCGCGAGGAATCGACCATCCATGAGGACAATCCAGGCCAAATCCACGCTGTGTTGCTCGGCAATGCTCTTGTTGGCGTACTTGGACGCCATGTCGGGTTCCTCCTTCGCCAGCTGCGTATTGGAGACGCCGCGATGGTCCCTGTATGTTGGTTGAGTATGAAAAGCAGAGTAACAATGTGGACGGAGTCAGATGTTGCCGAAACAAAACTTTGCTCCGGAGACTGTTGATGAAATGCCACTTACACGTCGTGTGTCAGAGCAGCAAAACAGATCGCAAAGCATGTCAGCGCGTCGCTCGCGATTCCGTGGGTGTAATCGTGCAAGTGCGAAGCCAAGTCGCTTGACTTTTTCAACTTCTTCAACTCATGGTCTTTCAAGTCTGGGCTCACAACTCTCTTCAACAATTTTGAAACACTGCATGGTGGGTGGATGCGTTCGCGTTAGTTTTCTGAAGATAGAAGGGCAGATCAAAATCAAAACAAAGCAACATCATACCTAAGGGTGACATGGCATGCATGCTGGTTATCATAGGGCAACACAATTGATGAGCTGTGGGAGTTGGAACGAGCAATGAATCTCGCAAACCATCAAAAAGTACCTACCTCAAAATTGTGGAAGCAGTTTTTGGCTTGGTAGAGAGATGCAATTCTGGTTACATAGTCCCTCAAGTTCTCCACGACGGCTGGGTCGATGGTACAATCCTTGTAGCCGCTCATGGTGACAGCAGTCTTGGCGTTGTACTTGGGCATTCCAATACACTCCTTCACTTCGTCCAGACACGTTTCACCTGCTCCAGGGTTGAACCACCTCACATCTTCTGAGCTCGAAGTCATTTCTCCTCGTTGGTTCCGAGTATGGACAAGCTTCTGAAGATTGTCTTTCAAGAGGTCGACCATCCAATCGACGAGGCGTTTGTTCACTGGCTGCACGATTTCCTTCTTTGGAGTCTGGACGGAATCACCGCCAAAAATTGAGCTCGATAAGATGGAGCTCGATCCTCGCCTGTTCGTTGGGTTAGCCCAAAATGTATTGAGGCATCCAAGACCTTTGGCTTTCACAGCATCGTCACGTGGTTGTAGCCAGTGTTCCTTGCCACTCTGTTTCAGAATGGAGGCGGTTGCCTGTGAGACTTGGATTTTCGCTCTGCAACCTGTTGATTCCATGCGACTGGCGTAGTTGACTGTTCGGGAGGGGGCGTTTTGAAGCATTGGTAAGAAGCGGAGGGGATCACACCAGATTTCAGGTAGCCATGCCCCACACTTGGCTATCCTCACCTGTATCGCCAAACAACTGGAGGAGAAGAAAGATAGGCATTGTCAGCAATGCCAAGCTATGCACTGCACTGTGAGATCAAACAGTTTACTTACTTGGAACCTCGCTCGATCGCCTCTCAATACTCCTGCCGTCACCGGACCCTGTGATGTCAGTTGGTACAGGTTGGAATTTGTGAGGGACCAATGCAAAAGTCAAACTGAGAGAAGCCATGATCAGTACTCACTGAATGCAACCCGAATCTCATCTCCAAAGAACCCGTGTCAGGCCCAAGTTGACTCTCCAGCTCCTTGGTAACTTCACTCATCTTGATCATGCCTGCTCGCCAAATAGGTCAAAAAAGTCGCATAAGCTCTTCAAGGAAATTCCCGTTCTTCTTTATCCCTCGTGCAGCCATCATTTACTTACAGTCCCAGGCAAATTTCACCATAATTGCCGCTAAAAGAGATTGAGATACAAAATTGAACCAGAAAGGAGTTCCCAGAAAACTGACAGGAACTCACCGTGATTTTCTTGGGGCTCGGGAATCCCTGTGCAAGCCATGTAAGAATCACCTGTATCAGGTTAATGAAAGGGGGTTCGCAGGTGAGAATGGTGGCAACGGGCACTGGTGCACTAGAGGCTGCTGCAATTTACCTATGGTCTCGACCTTGAACACATTTCGACGCTTCGCTAGCACATCAAATGATTGGTAGACAGCTTGAAGAAGGATGAACACCTGGGATGGTTCTCTAGTGCTGCTCCAGGCAGTGAAGCCAGCAATGTCTGATGTTACGGAATGGAATCGTGCAGGTGAGAATGGCGGCAAGGAGCAGCACTGCAACATAACACCTTCCTGGCTGCTTACCAGCAAAAAAGACAGTGCCTGACAGATAGATTCGGGGCAGGAAGATGTGAGATCAGTTTGGTTATTCCTGTTTGACGACCTGTCTCGCACGATTCCACTTACAATCAGGGAAGAGGTCCGCAATCGGCTTTTCATCGTTTTGCCCATGCGTTGTAGCTCCGTCAAGGAAACCTTTGAGGCGTGTGGTCTTGTTCCCCACAGAAGTCGCTGGATCCGCTTCGATGAGCCTGTCCCTGACACTCTTGGGAAAAAGAGAAGAGACAATGGCCGTGGACTGCGTGGCTTTTGCCAGGACCACTTGCTGTCTTCGTTCGACGATCCGGTCGTACAAAAGGAACATGGCAATAGTGAAAAGAAAGACAGCCGCGATGGAACAGGTGATGGCAAGGGGCGTGTCGGTATTGTACTTGTCGTAGAACGCCTGAGAAGGATACAAGTGAATGCTGTACTGGCAACCATCCTTGTGGAGCTTCAAACCTGAGGCAGTCCCATCGTGAAGGATACTTCCGTCGATGAAACCATCTCGTCGCCACTCGTCAAACTTTGGGTTGTGATGATCGCCGACACCCACAACAAACTGCGCAGAAGGAAGGCAATGTGCGGACCAGTGATGAGAAGGAACAACGAGCACAGAACGAGGTTGGATCTCCAAACTCTGCTTACCGCTTCGTCACCGTGAATCTGGTAGGTGAAGAACCCGTCACAAGAGTTGTCCAGCACTACGTCGATTCCGTTAACGTTGTCCGGCAGAATGTTCCTGAAGTAAGATCTCCTACGGTGTTCAAGGCAATCAAACTAAATGGTGAGGCCAAGAAAGCCGACATGGGGGATTCGTCAGCGCTGAATCTCAGTTGGACGCACCAGTGAACTACGCAATTGAAGATGATGGATGTGACAAGAGTTGAGTTTCCCTCTTCAAGTTGAGCCCCAGAATATTAAACAGCCGAGAGGAATACTCACCGATGGCCGTCATCATCGCAACTGCTTTGCGTGTGGTGGTATTGAAACTATCGAAAACGGGCATGTACACGTTGGCCATGGGATCTCCCAGGTATTCCACTGTCGAACGAGGTGCAAAGTGCTTGAGACGGCTGCCAACGGAACACACACAGACCACTTGGTTGATCTGGTTCTTCGTACCTTCTTTTCCCTCGACAATGCTGCGCAGCGTCGCAAACAGGGCAGTTCTTTTGCTGGGGCTACGGATGCTTCCAGGACTAGCAGCTGTGAAACCTCCAATGACGGCGTATTCTTCATCCAAGACAATCGATGCGATCTCTGTTTGCGGCACGGAAAAGTTGGTTCGGCTCAACTGGTTCTCATTGACTAGACCAGTGCGAAGAACGGGTGAAGTCATCCACACGGGCAAGTAGTACTCGGAGAACGATGACTCGAGGACAGCAGCGCCACTTTCATCGAACGAGTGCATCAGGTCGACTTTACGGTCTGTGACGTGGCTCTTCTCAATGTTTGGTCCGTACTCAAAGCCATTGAGGCCAAGCTCTTCCTGGAAGGCAAGCCCTTCATCGCTGAACTCACATACATTGCGACAGACACTTGAGTGATGAGTGGGCTGGTCGCCTTTCGTTTGATTACAACACGAGCACAACAGCAGCAAACAGCGAACTTACATCCAATAGCTGTCTTTTCCCTGCACAAAGTCATCCCATTCTTCAACCTGATTGAACGTCACACGAGGAGCGATGCTGACCATGAGGGCGCCGGAGAGTTGACGAGCGTTGCCGGCACGTTGTTGAAAGTTGGTCAAAGTGACGAACGGCCATTTGGATTCGGTCTGGACGAAATGAAAGGACAAGGAGGATGTGAGCATCCAATCAGAACCTTTGATCCTCTGCGAATGGGACCCAGACTTACATCCGTAGCGTGAGAAATGCTTGCCACACCCAGACCCGAGACTGCCCTCATTTCGTGAAGAATGCCCGCCCAAGCTGCATGGATGGATGAAAGCATGAAGTGAAAGACAGTTAGAATCAAGTGCCATAACACGTGATTGGACGTGACAAAGGGTTCGTCGTCTGCGATGATGCACGGTACTTACAAGTCAAAACCTGGAGGGAGTAAGGATGCAATGACCAAGCAATGTGGTGAGTTTCATCGTGCGTTTAGTGGACTGCGCCAAACACAGCTCAGACTGTCTCTCAATCTCATACCTTTCTAGATGCCCCCTCGTACTGACTCTTGAACTCTTCGGACTCTCCGCCCCTTGTAATCATGTAGACAAGTGTGCATACCAAGGCTGGAGTGGCCATCAACACCAAGATGACCACAACACGCAGACGCCACACGACCTTGGTCTCTCGCTTTGTGAGCTCTTCCCGGAGCTTCTTCTCATTCTCGTCCTCGTGATGAAACTCCTCTCTTGGTTGACCGGACTCGGTGTCGCCATCGCAGCTGGTGCTATCGTCGTCGCCGAGAGAGGTGGAACTCATGGTGGTGCTTTGCTTGTTGGTGGTTGTTATTGGTGGGCGGTGTGTAAAATTCGGCAACAGAGCAAAATGAATGATTTGAAACTAACTTACTTAATGGGTACAAAGGATCTCCGAAGCCCCGCAAATAATGGTTTGGCTTTGGTGATTTATTTTGTGATGGATACCAGTACCAGGTACAGTAGCTACCGGTACGATCTTGCAGGAATTCGGGGTCATTCTGGAATGGCTCGTAAAAAGTCGAAAAATCAACCAAGGTTTATTTTAATAGGGTTTTACGATACGCAGAAGCTTAAGGGCACCAAAAGGTACTATTTAATGCGGTCATTGTTCCCTCTACTCCTCCCAGAAAACAGCTGTTAGTCACCTTCAATAGTCATTGGTCATTCCGCGGTACAGCCAAGAGCTCTATCGATCGAAAGTTTAGCAAGTCAAAGAGACAGTGAATTTTCGTGCAATGGCTCCCAGCGCTGCTCTCACCTCTTTCTACGCTGCCAACTAAGACATACAAGTACCCGTCTGCTGGGGACACTGGGTAGATCGTAGTGCACGTGTACCGAGGTTCCTTGTCGGTGAAATAATGACATTGTGAATTGTGAATGCTTTCTCTATTGTCTATCGTGCTTTCTCTATAGTCCATTCGGAGTACCGGTACTGGTACCGCTTTACCGTATTATTTTTGCTGTATCTTTGGCCATCATTGTCGGAGGTTTCGGGCACCGTTGAAGTCTCCATCCTTTCCGTACCGTACCTCTAGCTAGACTCTACATGTATGTAACTAAGTAACTAGCCAGCTGGACAAGGCCACCAGTTACATGTAGTCTACCGGCACTTGAGTGAGTTGCCGGTTGCTCGCAGTCCACTGCTCGAGTCGTTTTGTGGGGTACGGAGTCAAGGTGTTAATTTTGACCATTGACCGTAAGTCCGAAGTGTTACAGTATCTATGCAACTCTCGCTCCCATTTGCAGTCATCCATTGACTAGTCTATAGAGACAGCTATTGAGACATACGATTTTAGCAAAAAATAGCAATCTTTTGGATGGCCACCACTTGCCGGAGTCAAGTCGCAGTCCTTGTGACTTGTGCTCCTGGTGTGAAACTGCGGCTGGAAAGTGGAGGAGAGTGGAAAGGGCTCGAAGAACCAAAGGGTGGCTTATAGAACCTACTGCATGTAAAGCAATACTCAAGAATGATGCTAGCTACCGGCTGGCTAGAAATTACTCAGCCTCCAAAATTAGCTTTCCATCATCCTGATTCCTGAGACCTCAGAATGAAACTAATACATGTAACGACCGCCCTGGCCAGTGGTGAGAGTGGTCAGTGGTGAGGAAGGGCCAGTCAGAAATGGGAATTATTTAGCGTTCCAAGAACCAACTCAACTCCTTCCGATCTCTCTTGAAGAATGATGCTCAAGATCATCAGCCCGCTAAAAAGAGCATGTTTGCTGCTACTGCAGCCTAATCCTTTTCCAAAGCTAGAAATGCCCCATTGATCCTCGTTGCGTATCGGTACTACGATGGTACTTGTCACGTGCAATTGCAGCCACTACTAGACTACGTCCTTGTTGGTTCTGATGATGATGATGATGGAGCCGACTGGAGTAGGGAGACGCCAGGCCACGAGGATCGCTCGGGGTAAACTTCCCATATCTCTCCTCCGTTGTCAAATCGTTTGCACGCTGAACAAAAATGGTAGCGATACTAGCTAGCTAGTATGCCGATGTCATGCCCCCACTCGAGTTTTCACCTAATGTGTGAAGGGGCAGCCCCGATGTCTCGATACGAGCCAGTGCCTAACCCGCACCTCACGACAACTTGTCAGCTCTAAACCAAGCCGACAGAGCGGCTTACAATTGGTAGCCAATGAGGTTTTCTTCGGGTACCGGTCGTGATATCATTCGAAGTTCGAAGCCACTCCAAGGGGTTCTTTGATATATCCGTAGCAGATGGCTGAGGAACTCTTGCCAGTTCGTACCGAACCCTCGTGAAACTTCGCTCCAGCCCCAGAAGCCTTCATCATTGCCATCATTTGGTCATTAGCCGTAACTACTGCTTTGTCTCTGCGTCTTTGTCGCTTGCCATCAAGTCCCAAGTCGAAATCACCCTACAGCACTGTACCACAATGGACCCCAAGGAAGTTGATGAAATGGAGACAGAGAAGGCAGTCCAGACGGAGGAGGAGCCTGTGAAGGTTGGCGACATCCAGACAGCTCCAACCGCAGAAGGGCCAGAGAAGGCAGGCAAGACGGCCGGGTCAACGCTGGCTACTGCAGCATGTGAGCCCATGAACATTGATGGAGACACCAATGACGAAATCACGGATCAGCTTGAAGCTTTGTTGGCCTGCAAAGCAAGCAAGCTTGTCCTTTTGGCCGCTGCCAAGAAGGATCCCGAGTTATTGGACGTCATTGAACGTGTCGCTACGGAGCTGATTTCATGTGTCAAGACGACAAAGGACGCCATGGCAGCAGCAGCATCCTCCAATCCTAAAGACAAAGACAAAAAACCTGCGGCAATGAAAAGTCTACCGGATGCAAAGGAACCGGAGATCAACCAGGACCATGCCTCTGTAAGTGAAACCCCCGATGACGGGGTTTTGGAACAGAAGGAGACGCGGCCAGACGAAAATCGTGCGTCAAACGGTGAAAACCCTGATGAAGATGGCAAGGACAAAGACGAGAAGGTCCCCGACGCCAAGAAGGAGCCCAAGGAAGCAACTGCAAAAGGACATGATAGTCAACAGCCGAACCATGATGCTGGCCCAAATCACGAAAGTGAAGACAAGCCGGTGAAGCGTGCTGCCAAGGAAGAGCTCGAGTCGACACCCCCAAAACGACGATCTGTTTCTACCGGCGAAGTGGACAACGACGACGACGACGACATTGATCATTCGGATATTGGAACTTCTACTCGCAGCCCTGATGGCCAAGCTGACAAGATTGCTGATTATGATTCGGAAGTTCATAATATCCGAGCTGCACGTCGCGTTGCTGCAGAAGGGGTACTGGCAACTAGCAAGCTTTGGTATTCTCGCTTTGGGGTAACACGAAAGGAAATCAACCACAACGAAGCCTGGAAAGCAATCGGACTCTCTAAAAAGTTTGGAGTTGGTGCTGGACTTGCCCCCCAGCTGGCGTACCTGTCTGTGGAGGCTGCCTCTGACTATGTAACCCTGGACAAGGCAACCGGAACTCTAACAGTTACTTTTCTTCTTCCGCCGGCGGAACGGGCAAACGTGCAACCGCAAGTTGAGTCTCTGAAGCAAGGCACCATTCCATTCTTTTGGACAGAGGACCAGCTTGGATCCGGCGAGAGACTCTGGCACTACATTGGGCATTACCAGTGTGAACGAATTTGGGAGGAACATGATGTTACATTTTCTGCATCCTTTCGCTGTAAAGCTTTCAAAGTACAGGTGGCCGCCAAGTTGGAGGAGATTGCGGGTGTTTTGGCTGTCAGCTCGCACTATGATAGCTAGTAGAGATCAGCGCCACCCTTGGGGCAAAGAAGAAGCAAACAAATTGGTTTAATTGGGGTGAAGGTTCTTCGGTCTAACAAGCAAACCAACAAGACTCTCTGCAAGAGGTAGGTCTCGGCGAGCTCATTTATTTGAAGAGGTTCTGGTGAGCAATAGCCTGGTAGATGGACATCGTATACATATAGTTTGATACACATAAGCATCACGTTTGAGAATGAATTCTCTTAGCTTTCGTTTTGCCTCCGCAACGGGTAAAGATTGGATGCTCGTCTCATTTTGTGCAAGGGGAGACTACATACCCCACTACCAACCGCGGCTCTCTTGCTATTAGAACTACTAGTAATTCACCCTCTCCCTGGCTGAGAGCTACTGATACATACATTGGCATCTAGCTGAACCACTGCCAAGGACCTTTCTAGCTAGCAAATGACTAACTATGGGATACTTGTTGTAGAGAAAAGATTCTTTAGATTTATTCTTGCTTCGGTGAAAGGCCCATTTGCTGCATGTTGCTGATTCGATTCGATTCACTTTGGTTATCTACAAAGCACAACCAAAGTCGTTCGGTACAACTCGCTCCAAGTCGTCGTCCACTCGTCTACTCTACAACGCGCTTTTTCTTGTTGTACTTCTTGGCAAATTTTTGATTTCGCAAGAATTTAGGGTCCATGCCTCTTGTGGAAACGAACCGCTGCCTCTTGGCCTTCTTGATCCCATTGGCGTGAGCCTTGTGGGTGTTATTGTGTGCGCAAGTGTTCTTTTGCTGTGGTTCGAAAGAGATGAGAGAGACAGCAGGTGTGAGAAGCCTCATTCAAAACGCCACCGAAAGAAGGAGATGCGCCCAGCTTGGCCATGTCTTATCTGAACCAAACAACCATCACATTACAAGACGTACCTTCACCATCTTGACTCGACACTATCAGCTACAACAGTCAACAATCCCAAGAGACAGAGTGCTGATCGGTTGGAGGCTTGGGGTCGGAGAAGGGCTGCGGCAAAAGTGAGTAATGCGGTAAGTGGTAACACAAACGCGAAGACATTTTTAGCTCTGACCCTACCACCGGCACTGGTACCGCGCGCGCAGTCGAGAGAAGAAAAGAAAAATCTGCCCCACGCCGTGGATTTGGCTACCGACGCATTGAAAAACTCTGGTAATGTAGTTGGGGAGCGCAATAGATCAACGAGAAGATGGTTAAGTCAGCGGGAGCTGCGATACCTCGGCAGAAAGACAGATAGAAGAAGGGGGATCATGTTCGGATTGCACCCATCTTTCAAGCTAGCCCTGGCGACAACACCCGACTACGTCGTGTGTTGCCGCCCGGTATCATTCATTCCCTTTTTGCAACCTTCTTTTTATTAAGCTAGCCCTGGCGACAACACCCGACTACGTCGTGTGTTGCCGCCCGCTACTCAATAATTTACTAGCTGCTATTCCCTTATTGTAACTCTAACCTTTACAGCTCCTGCTGGCTTATTGTGCTGTTGTGATGATTGTACTAACCTTAAATATTAATGATTTATTCCTACCCCTAACTTGTATTGAACCATCAATGTTCAGTTTTGTTGGCTTATGACTATCTCTATCCTTATACTTTGGCTTCACCGGAATAGGAAATAGGAAATAGGAAATAGGAAATAGGAAATAGGAAATAGCATTAAAGGGGTTGAGAACTCAGGCAGTTTACCTGCCGAGGTAAAACACAAAAACAAATGCAACGCGGCAATACTCCTTGCTTTTCTGCATGGGGCTGTAACATTTGTTTGGTCATTTTGTCATGATCTTGTTGAGAACAAGCACTCCCCAAGTAGGACGTGTCCATTTTCGATCGTATTTCGAAAATGTGAGCTCAAAATGTGAGACTTAGTTTTAAACTAGATGGCCGGCTCTGCAGTCACAGATTGTCTTTCGAGTTTTGGATTTAACCGTTGCATCCAAAGTAAATCGCATCCCACCATGGGCATCTCTTTTCGTTCATGTGTGCACGTTCAGAGAACATGTTGAATGTCAGCCACTCCTCTCATAAACATGTCGAGTTGACACCAAACCCTTCCGAGTTGACCATGTCATCGGCCGGCATCTCATTGTGTTGTGTCTTTAGCAGATGGGATCGAAAATTGGGACCATGGGCATCCGATTCAGCGACCATGTTGGTTGACACAAGATTCAGTGAGAGAGAAGCAACATCAACGGCAAAAGATCGCGATCAACAGCATCCGAATGGATCAGTTCAGTTGGATGTCATCTCATTATTTTGACTATCGACACTTTACAGCGAAGCTCTGCCCAAAAGCTCTGCTGAAATCGACCATTCTTGCTTGGATTGCTCGGCAATGGTGATCGGCGGTTCAGTAAACTGTTGTTGTTGTTATCCTTTGTGCAGTGTGCCGTGGCCGTCGTCTCTCCCTCTGATTCTCGTTGGTCGCGTGTTGTGTCTCACTCGTTGGATGGTGGACTGCTTGTGATGGAAAGCATCTCTTTACGGTGACCAAACAGTGCTTTGGCGATTGACTTGCTATTGTCTTTTAATCTTCATTTCTGATCTGTGACTAACTGGGACTTAGAAACGGTTTGCCTTTCCAGTCCCAATTCAGAAAGAAACTGTCGAAACTGGCACTGGAATCGCCGGGCGAGCTTCAATTTCTTCAAAATCTGTTTCAAAAGTACATTAAACTCAATAGAAAATCATTGCTTCTGCGACTACTTGATCATGCCCTAGCATCACCAGTTTACACTCTATGACATTGTTACCCATAGTCCACCCTGGGTTTTACACCTCCCTTGACACGATGCAGCAGTCAAAGCAGCCACTGGGGCAACTTGAAATTTTCATTACCCATACCTTTCAATGCGTCGGTAATTGGGGGCTGGAAACAATTGTTTATTCTCTTGTTTGCCTCGTTGCAAGCAAAGTTGCTTCCTTCGAGACAATTGGCATCGCTTTCTGATTCTGCTAAGGATGAGTTCTCTACTAGCTAGTACGCAGACATTGAAGAGATGATTGACTTGCATTTCCAATAGCCTGCGATACAGTTGTCACACCAGAGCGCAAATCCGCGCTCGATTGCTGGCTAGTAGAGTATCTAATAAACACAAACATTCCAGCAAGTCCTATACACTTAGTTTAGTTCAGAAGCTGCTCTGCTTGAGGATTGAGAAATTCTTGGCAATTACTGCGAGCTTCTTCACTGCCGTCTCATCCTCGCCCAACGTGCCAGATGGATCGTTCAAGTAGTTTGCCAAGGACTCTGATCCAAGAGCAATACGCAGGATGGCATGGGTTTCGCTCACATCAACCGGCTGACCCACAAAGCAGCAAGTCGAGAGCGCTGCTTTCTCCTCGGGAGAGGCTGAAGGTACCGCACTCGATACGTCCATGCTCATGTAGCGATAGACATCACGAAGTTCGCTCATATTCAGCCATCCGCTACCATCCTCTCGCTTCAGGCGGATGCTCACAATACTACGTTCGACACACCATGCATCCAGTTGCTCCGGATTCGACTGAACCATGTGAGTGACGCTGGTAGCCCAGTCTTCGACTGCTTTGATTCGGTCCACATCGGGGGTCTTGGACAGTGACTCCATTCCAGCCAATCCAGCTTCCCATCGCAATGCAAGACCAACATTGTTGCCTACACTGTCGTTGCGGCGCAGCAGTGGCTTCCAGCTTTCAAAGCACTCTGGCAGTTCCTTATCCGAGAAGAATCCTCCCAGACCCTCTTTGCCGTACATTTCCATTGGTTCCGGCGGTGGCGATTCTCGTAGTTTGTCGGCTATGCGCTTGGGGATGAACAGAGCGCCACAGAAAGGGGGTGCCTGGAAGAACTTGCTGCCGGTGAAGAGCACAATCGAGTCTTGCTCGAGCCAGGAGTGCAGCTCCTCAAGAGAGAATCGACCCTGACAGGCATCAATAACTCCCAATGACGCGCTGCCGCCATCACCGCTTCCGGGCATTACATTGTCTCTGAGGCCAGTCTTGCCTCCGAACACACCATGCAAGATGGTGTAAGCGTCTCCCTCCTTTTCAGCAATGTCGATAGCAAGTGCTGATGCATCCAGCACTGATCCGTCACGCTCACGAGCTGGGATGGACACTTCTTTCAATCCGTCGTCACCAAAGCCGTTCAGACGAGTAACACCATCGGGTACTTTACCATACAAGGGTGCGTGCGTAGAGAAATAAGTGCCTCCAGCAGCAACGTTTGTTCCGGCTCCAATCTCCTTCAGCTGTGTCACAATGTTCACGATTTTCTTTCCGTTTTGAGTCTCAGGCTGAAGCACTCGAGCGATGGCAATCGGGAGATACTCAGCATCGGAGCCTGATGAATGAGTGGATGTGTCCAGTCAACCATACAGTACGAATAAGTGAATGTTTGAATGTGTGTGAATGGTGCCCAGAGGAAACGACACACAGTCAGAAACATGGTGTGTGAGAGATAACAGTCAACCTAGTTTTTTCTTAAAAATGCTCCTTCTTGGACACACCTGATGGGCAGAGAGCCACCTCCACACCCTCTGGAAGCTCCAAGGCAGAGGCAATGCGCTGCCTCTGGTTCTCAAAAATGCCGTTCAAGGCTTCCTCTACTTCTGCCTCTGTCTGCTTGGATGCCAACTTGTCGTCAAAAAGCTTCATGGCAGCCGCATATCCAGATTCGGTGGGAGTATTGCAGGTGCAACTTCCACGGAAAATGTCATTGCTGGCGATTGGTTGAGGCTTGCAATGGTACTTGTTGGTTCCGCTGTTTGGCAAAATCATGCTCCGGTCATCACTTCCCTGCGTCAAGTAGGACTCGAACAGGTTGAATCCAGAGTCTTGGGCATCCTGAATGGCGTCGTCTCGGTATGCCGCCACGGATGAAAAGGAACGCTTTCCACCCTGGTTGTTGGCCATGGTGGAGAAAGCCGCACTTCGTGACTTGTTCTGGAAGGCATGGGTCAACACATTTGTATTGGCGAGACCTTCACGAGTGTACGAGTCGCTTTCCCATGCAGCTCCTGCCGCACGGCAACCACCCTCCCAAGGATTGATGACATGGGCCATACCAGAATACGTCTCCTCAAATATTCTTCGGTAGTAGAGTTCTTCCTTGGTGTGTGGTGTATTGAGCGGGTAAAGGGTGGCAGCATTATCCATCTCGGCATCCGAGACTTCTTCGGCCACCTTGCGCTGCAACATACTGACCCAGTCTTCCCCGACACCTTCACACTGCATGGCCTTGGCTCTCCACAAGACGGGATGGGGGATGGAGTCGCCATTGGCATTGGGTCCTTCAAACAGCTTTCTCAAAAATGTCTTTTCGCGTCCTTCCGAGTTGGTGGCAACGGCTTCCCGATCAACAATCTTGACGGAAGGGTCGACACTCATGATCAATTCTGTGAATTTGGTATCGAGAAAGGGCACACGAGCCTCCAAACTATGCGCCATGGTCATTCGATCGGTACGATGCAAATTGATGTCGCCGAGCATGTTGTAGATGCGTCGAAGTTCGTTTTGAATATGACGGGGAGTCTTGGCATCCATGAAATAAAGGTATCCAGCAAAGAGCTCATCACTTCCTTCACTGAAATATACAATGAATGAAAGCAAGAGGCACGTGAGACGTCCGTGAACAAAGTAAAATCACAAAAATAATCCACAAAACAAACACTGAAAATACAATATATTGCAGCATTATACATACCCTGTCAAGACCATCTTGACATCGGCTCCAGCCCGCTCAGCCAATAACCAATTGGGAATAGCACTTCGAATCAACTCTGCCTCGTAAGTTTCCATGTGATAAATAATCTTGGGGATCAATCCAAAGACTTCATCTCCGGTAAAGACTCGTGGACGATGATCAATGTATTTATCTCCCCCCAGTGCATCGACCATGGCCCGTGCGGCCATCATATCGGGTGAATCTTCCATTCCAACAGTAAATGCCGGAATGGGTCGATCATCTCCCGTTTCTTCCCGGTACATGGGCATGAGTGCATGCGACACAATGCAGGAATCGACTCCTCCACTGAGAAAGAATCCATAATCGACATCGGCCATCATGCGCTTGGAAACAGCAGCCCGGAATGCTTCGCGGATTTCATCGTCCGTGGGATTTTCTTTGGTTTCCCAGGGAGCGTAGTCTTCCTAAAACAAAAATAGAAAAGAAAATGAACAGAAAAAATTGGTTCAGCATCCAAAAAACATGTTTTACCCATGCAAACCATACTGTTGTTTTTGTATTCTTTTGTTTGACTCACCGAGAAATTCCATTCTGGACTATGGTATCGCACCAATCCAGTCTGAGGCGTCCAATAATGTCCAGGAGGCACAGCTTCTACAGACGATGGTACGACATGTCCGACCAATGCCTTTAATTCCGAAGCAAATACATAGGCACCATCTTGTGTGGTTCCATAATAGAGTGGCTTGATGCCCACTGGATCTCGGGCTGCAAATGCCGCCGCTGGTTGTCCATCTTTGGCTTCTTCAAACAAGCAAAAGGCAAACATGCCATCCAATCGCTTGACGGCTTCCTTGGGTCCCAAACAGGCACATGCATGCGCAATCACTTCACAATCACTGGCCGAAATTCGTTCTTCCGTCCAACCGTGATTGTCCACAATATCCTGATACAAAATCTTGTGATTGTAAATTTCACCATTGGCGGCCAATTTGACCCTCTGCTCGTTCTCACTGCCAGCTCCAAACGTCAACAAAAAGGGCATATCGGCCGCGTGCGAGTCGGGATCGACAATGGCCAAACGCTGATGTCCCATGACCCAATGCGCATTACTGGTCAACGAGCCACGGGCGGTATGACGACCGTCGGGACCACGATGAATCATGGTGCCCGTGGCCGAGCGCAATGTGTATTCGTCCGTCAAAATGGCCGATTGGCTGGGGCCCGTGTATGTGGGCGACCACACATTGTCCACGGCCGCCAATAAACCACAGTGGCGTTTCGTATTATTGCTACTAGTAGTGTTTGTCTTGGTCTTGGTCAAGGCACGGGACGCCGTGCGAGACAGAGATCGCAACATGGTTGTTCAGTTTTAGTTTCGTTTTGTTGCCTGATCCAAAAGAAAACAATGATAGAATTGAAATCAATTTGTGGACAAAATCTTTCTTCTTTTGTGTGGCTTGATGTGTGTGTCTTCACTTCACCCACGTGGAACCTTGTGGTGATTTGGATTGGAGGATTGGACGGTGGCGCTTCAAGAAAGTGTCAACAACCTCGACCGCAAATTCAATAGATATCCGATCTGTCTGACGTCCGTTCGGAACGCTTTTTTACAGACCTCTTCGGTACAGTACAGTACCGTACAGTGGTACTGTTTCTACGGACCAATGCCACGTTGTGTGACCACACAAAACTGCGAGAGGTTGTCTTTCATCACACAATTAGAGAAAAGATCCAATAGCCTCCCTCGTAGCAAGCGAAATTAATAGCGACCGGGTGTAAGGTAGCTTCCAGGATCGTACCGTAGGGTAGCAAGGCGGACCTCCGTTAGCATGGTGAGAGGTGAAAAGGGAGGGTGTCTATTTTGCTACTAGTAGCTACCGGTAGCTAGAAATAACATACATGTACTTCGACTGTACGAGGAAGGAAGGAAGCTTCCAATGTAGACCTCCAACCGACACAATTCTGTAGGAGCGGGGTGTCTACTATGCATAGCTTGTAACACTGTCTGACTGTCTGTAAGCCACCACCAATCATTGTGAGAATACGCCATTCGCTCCGCTTGTACGGTCGCCATCTTTTTTTCCAATGGCACTGGGAGTGCGTAGTATCTCTGATTAGTTATTAGCGACAGCCACTCATCATCAGTCAGGAACTTAGCTAATCAATCAACAGCCAGCATACCAAGCCCAATCACAGAAACAGCCAAAAATGAAGATAACCACCCATCGCTCCCAAGCATACTTGCAGCACTTGTTGTCGTGTTGCTGCTGTTTGCGTTGTCATCGGGAGCGTCCTCCAAAGATGCACATTTGCCAAAGATGTAGATTTTTTCATTGGCAGTGGCCTCTGGTGTATCCCGGATACCGGCTGCTACCTGGATGCCCACCAGAAGCCGGTGCTCTCGGAGGTGGACATAGCGACCGAAAAACAAATATGCAGTGGGATTGGGGGATTGCAGAATGGCAATATTGGTCCTACTCCTTGTCTCGTTCATACACATACACGGATGCATGACTCAAAGTGGAAGATTAACTTAATCCAGCATTTGACCAAAAAGGAAGTGCTCCAGAAGCCCATCATTCCCCGCAACTCCTTGGTCTCAAATCTCAGGTAGTTTTGCTTCAGAGTCTCAAGTGTAGGGTAGCGGGACCATGTAACAAGGCCACCATTATCCGAACCAGTTATACCCCCAGCAATGTTCTTGGCATCACCATTAAAAACAAAGGGTTCATTACAGATGCTGTCTCCAGCTCTGGGGGCAGGATCCCCAGTAGTGTGAATCAGACCATGGCTGACAAAGGCACTGCTAATTTGAGCAAAGCTTGGTGCAGCAGTACCAAGTTCTTGGGCTATTACCATGTCAACTTGGTCAAGGTTTGGGAGTCCTTCCATGTTGCCACCACCATTGAAGGCAGCTGCCATGAGGTCAAACCGGGTCTGACAGTTGTCACATGCTGTCAGTGGGAACAAGTCTCGACATGCAAAGTTGAGGGTAGTGACAGTCAGCGAATTTTTTCGGAGACCAGGCTAGCAGAAAGGGCTATGAAAGTAGAGATTGTGAGCTTCATGTTAGCTTTCTTGTTCGTTGTTGAGAATTATTGTGAGCTTATGATACTGCGAGATGGTAGAGGAGATACAAGCCATGGCTTCACTTTTGGCAGATTTGCTTTCCCGGCTTCGTTCTAGTGTTGCATCACAGCGAGATACCGGCGTTCCTTGCTGGCAACCTGTTTGTTCGAACTTCTGCGGAAACGCTGGAGATAGCTGAGGTCTGAAAGCAGTCCACTCCTGCAGTTCAAGATAAGCACTGCTGACTGAGAAAATGGCCTGCGGTGTCATTGGAAAGGGTGAAGCCGCCCCGTAGTACCATCATCCGGTACAGGTACCAGTCGACTGGTACCTGGTGCCTGGTGCCAGTCGCTACGTAACACGGGACAGATCCTGCGCCGCTGTCTTCTGGGAGTGAACTTCAGACGGGACCCGTGCTTGTGCAAACCAAAGTCGCCTAGTGACCACCTGACCTGTGAAAGCTCCTGAACAGCATACGGTACCTTCCCTCTATGGACCCCAACCCTCAAGCCTGACTTTTGGTTGGTTGGTATGGGATATGACAAACATGTTCGACGATGTTTCACTGGGCTGGACCCAAGTTGTTTCATTTGGAAGGCAAGAGTCGCAAGGCAGCTCCATATTCATGTAACAGCATTCCACAAGTTTCAGTGGCGGGAGATTGCTATGCAGGTCTGCGCGGGACTTATACACTTTGTTTCCCTGCTTGCATGTACCGGTATCTTGTAAACAAGTTGTCAACCACGGCCATCCATGCTGGAATTCCTAATCATCGAAGGAACCACTGCCAGAGTAGGAACCAGAGTACTGCTCATCTTGGTCGTCATATTGAGAGCCGCTATATTGGCTTTCTCCTTCTCCGGAATTATTGTCGTCGTCGTCGTATTGAGATTGAGAGCCACTGTATTGGCTCTGTCCCTCCTCCCCTTCAGAGTATTGAGAACCTTCCTCTTCGCCGGAATAGCTGCCGCTATATTGGCTTTGTCCCTCGGCTTCAGTGTATTGACTCTCTTCATCTCCCTCCTCTTGGCTGTACTGGGATTGCTCCATGTCTTCGCTGTACTGAGATTGAGATTGAGATTGCTCGTCGTCATATTGAGACTGTTCATCGTCGTACTGTGATTGCTCCATATCTTCGCTGTATTGAGATTGAGACTGCTCTTCGTCGTACTCCCCGCTGCGACTGCCACTACCACTACCACTGTATTGGCTTTCTCCCTCGGCTTCAGTATATTGACTCTGTTCGGCTTCACTGTATTGACTTTGCTCTGCCTCACTGAATACGGACATGGACTCCTCAATCTCGCGGCTGAAATGGGACGATTCTTCGTCTTCTTCGTCCCTTTGCGACCCTTCATCTCCACTGTACTGCGACCGATCCTCGTCTTCTTCGCCCGAATAACTGCCGCTATATTGGCTTTCATCCTCCTCTTCCTGAAGCCTGCTGGGACTTAGAGACTCCTCCTCTTCGTCGACGGCCTCTAGCGTGCCGCGGGCACCAGGGGAAGGAGGAGAATCGTCGGGACCAGCTGTCGTTGCCGCAGCAGGAGGAGCTACATCTCTGGGAACACCAGACTTTTCCTCCATTGTTTTCAGTGTATTGACCAGCTCTTGTTCTCGGCCTTTGAATTGCTCCATCATATCATCAATGTTGCCTCTTTCGTCTGGGATCACCCTATTGACCAACTCTTCCACCTCGGCCCGATACGAAGCACGCATCTCTTCATCCTCTGTAGTTGTGTCATTGTCGTCCGAATCATCATCAGAGTCCGACTCTTCTTCGTCGATATCGTGTTCAAAGCTTGCAATTGACTGAGCCACACCTTCCCAATCACCCGAGTCGATTTGTGCATCCAACCGGTCTGAAACTTTTGCAATGTCTCCAGATGCAGATTCAGGCGATGCATCTTGAGCCTGAGCACCAAAGCCGAAACCACCACCGGCACCAAATCCATCATCTCCACCTCCTCCAGCATCTCCTCCGCCAAAGAAGTCATTGGCTCCCCCGCCACCAAAGTCGTCTCCTCCAAAAGCACCAAAACCATCCCCGCCAAAGCCATCTCCAAATGCTCCTGCTGTTCCCACATTACGATTCTCCTGCTCGTCTTCTTCGTTTTCATCCTCTCCGACAGATGACCCTTCCGACTCGGAAGCTTCGTCTTCCTCATTCTCTTCATCCGAGTACTGCGAGGCTTCTTCCTCATCTTCACCGGAACCTTCGGAATCAACTTGTGATTCGTCCATCTGTGATTCTTCTTCCATTTGTGACTCATCTTCGTCGTAGCTACGGTCTTCATCCTCGTCGTAGCTACCGCTACCGCTGCGGTCTTCGTCCTCGTCGTAGCTACCGCTGCGGTCTTCATCATCTTCTTCCAAATCTTCGGAGTACTGTGATGCGGAATCTTCCTCGTCCTCGTCGTCCTCTTCGTCTTGCGAAGCGCCCCATCCACCCCCACCAAAGCCTCCATCGTTCCCTTGGCCCCATCCACCGTCAAAGCCATCACCCCCTCCAAAACCTTGCTCCTCGTCCTCCTCCTCTGATTCGTCATCGTCAGAGTGGCCGCTGGATGCAGTTGCTTCCTCGAGATCCATCCCAAAGTCCATTGGCAGATCAGGCCCGCCGAATTCACCGTATTCCTTAGTGGGCGCTTCGGAAGGATCGTTCAAGCCCATTTCCTCGTCTGATTCTTCGTCCTTTTCATCGTCCTCACTGGAGTCACTGCTACTACTAGCCCCAAGCAAATCGCCACTAGGAGGCATCGGACTGATAGGAATACCAATGTTACCTTGCCCTTCGCTTCTGGTTGGAGTGGAGGGCTGGCCATACCCTCCGTAATTGTCGTCGCCTCCACGTTCACTGCCATCGTCCCCAGTCTTGCCATCCAGTGTCTCTTTCTTGTTACCACCCTGTAACGATGTATAGGCAAAATAGGCGCAAAGGCAGAGCGCCAACAGTCCGACGACTCCGCCAATAATGCCACCAGCCAAGGCTCCAGCATTGGAGCCGCCATCGGCAGAAGTTGGTTCGCTTGTGCGCGGGATGCTGGGTGAAGGTGTTGAAAGAGAAAGCGTCGGTTGTGGGGTAGGCCATGGTGTGGTGGGTAACAGAGGCGTCACTGTTGGATTGGGTGTTGTTGGATTGGGCGTTTCCGGGGTAACAGTTGGCACCGGGGTCATCAGTGGTTGTGGCGTTGTCGGAACGGTGGGCTGCGTGGCTGCTTCCAATGCCAGCTCCGTATCTTGGCAGATGCGCTTCAAGAATTCCACCTGAATCGCATCGGGATTCTGATACCCAATGGCCCCGTAAATGTAAATCGCCGTGCCGTATCCATTCTGTTCTGGATTGGGTCGTTCCACCGAGGCCAACTGGTAAAAGTTATCCTGTAAGGGCTGTGGCAGCGTCTCAAAGGTGGAAAACAAATAGGCCCCATAGGACAGACGGGTGACAAAGCGCGTGTACTCCATGTTGGTGAGAAAGTTGTCGCGAGGGCTGGTATCACTCTTGACCATGTCTTGTCGGCACTTGCTCAAGTCTCGGGTGGGAGCCATTGTCACGGCAACCACAGGGGCTGGCGTCGGCGCTTGAGCAATGGCCATTTCGGTATCGCGACATACTTGCAACAAGAAGGCTCGTTCCTCTTGGGTGGCATCCTGTGTCGGGTACACTCCATAGATGTTGATTTCTCCCACGGTCGATCCTTGCGCTGCCAGAGCGTAGTAGTTGTCCTTGATGTTGATCGGAAGATTGTTGAATGTTTCGAATCGGTACATTTCGTTGTTGGAGAGTCGATAGACCAGTTGCACGTATTCGTCGGCACCAATTAAGTTGTCTCGATTGTTATCGGAAAAGATAATGCTAAGTCGACATTCTGCATATGTGCTTGTGGGCCAGGCGGTGGATACATCATCAATAGAAGGAGCAGGAGTGATGGGGCGACTCAAGCTGGTGGGTTGAGGTCGGGGTGTCCTGGTTGGCAGACGCTGTAGCTGGGGTTGGGGTGGTCTCGTCACTGGCGTTGGCGGCGGTTCTGGGATTGTCGGAGCAGTGCCAGTCGTGGGATTCACGGTGGGAGACGTCAATCCAAACAGGTTGAGTGAATTGATGGCATTTTGCGTTTGTTCGCATATCTTTTGGAGGTTGGCGAGTTGGTCCGGAGTGACATCTGCGATGGTCGTTCCAGGCGCACTCCCTGCAATGTCAATGGATCGATCTCCTGTGATTCGGTCAATGACCTGCGCCAGAATGACAAAGTTGAAGCGCAGCAAGTCGGGCAACTGTTCAAACTCAATGTACTGAAACTGGCTTTCCGACATGAAGTTGACGAATCGTACATATTCCGAGTTTTCGAGTAGATTGTTTTGACTGAGGTCTGAGACGGCCATGTTGGTTCGGCAGGTATCAAAGGGGACGTCGACGGGTCGTAGAACTGTGGGCATGGAAGTTGGAACAGTGGTAGGACTTGGAGTGCCGAACGTGGTGGGCGCGGGTGTTGTGATTTCGTGAATGAGCGTTTGTGTGTCAAAGCAGATGTGTTCGATCCACTCGGCTTGTAGTGGCGTGGGCGTAGCACCAGGATACGTCCCTTCAATTTCCATGAGCATATCGGATCCAGCCCATATTTCAAAGTTTGTGGTCAACTCTTCTGGGAGCTGTTCAAATGGGATATTGCCATAGTAGTCCATGGACAAGTAGTTGACAAAGGTCACGTATTCTGTGGGGTCCAAGTACAAGTCTCGGTTGGCGTCTGAGAACGCCATGAATCTGGCGCATTGTTCCACTGGCACGGATTGGCCATGGCAGGTTTTGATCAGAGCAAGCAAGAGGCCAGATAACCACCATGGAGAAAAGGCAGGCCTGAAGCTACTATCGGTTCTGGTCCTGATGCCAGTGTTCTTGCCTGTTGGCCTCCTTCGTTTTCGGCAGCTTGTCCTACATGAAGTAGAGCTGCATGTATGATGCATTGCTCTGCCAACATTGATCTCGGTGGAAGGCAAGGAAGAGCATTGGCACCCCTTCCCATCGGTAAAGGTATCATCGCTGATCATCGGGAGTCTTGTCATGTCGTACCGAATGGTATCTTGGCATTCTCATGCCAAGTCTCTCTCAAACTCTCAATCTCTCTCTACTGTACCGGTACTGGCGTAGTGCCTGGCTGGTGTCTGCTTCTTCCTTGCTGATGCTACCACTACTATTAGCAGAGCTCTGACAAAGGGGATCTCATGTCGTCCTCATCGCCACTTCTTACTACAAGCAAGTGGACGAAAGATGATGGATTGAGAAAAAATGAGAGAAGCCAAAATTGTCACTGGGTTTGAAAAGATTTAGGAAAAGCCGAAGGGGTCACCTAAATCTACGATTAGTGACTGGATCACACTCGAGTCAAGTCGCCTCGTTCCGAGTGACTGATCAAATGTCGCGGTCGCTGCGATATTTTATCAACTAGCCTACCGCAGCTGAATTGTCTTTCATTAGGCACCAGATGCAATATTATTCTCCTTTTTTGCCTCTGGGGATCTACATGTACATGTACCACTACTAGCTAGCTAGCTATGTCGGTATCCACATTCATGTACCATACCATGTAGCTAGCTAGAGTAGGAAATATTCCAAATGGAAGCCGGTGGGGTCCTGGCTAAAGTGGTGGTAACTTTCAGTGCTCACTGGTATGGTATTCTCCAAGCTTTCCAAGGCTCCCTTTACTGTATTGTTCCACATGTTGATTCTATGGCGTTCGATATCGTCGAGGAAGGAATGATCAATCGAATCAAATCGTTTCAGCAAGCTACCGTGGCTCATGCTTGCTTGGATGTTGATGGCTTTAGCAGTAATAGGTTTTCGGAACAGGATCAGGGCAAATGCCAATGCAGCCACTTCGATGTAATCCATATCTATTTTAATTAAAATGCATCAAGGCCGTATCGTTTTCTTAACAACGTGCCTTCATTCCTTTGTGTTGCTTGCTTATGCTTTGGTGTTGTGTTGTTCGTGTGTCTCTTCCGCCTTTCTCTTTCGACTGGATGATCAATCTAGCTAGTAACCATTGAATTGAAATGAATTGAATCCAATCAGACCGCCATGCATTCTTGTCCTTCTCCTGCGACACATTCACCCTCCTCCAATGTCGTCGTGTGGTTTGTTGTTGTGGTTGTTGTAAACTCTTCTTCTTCTTTCTGTGGACACAACCACGCATTGCGAATACGAAAGGGGTTGTAGACATCCGTCAACTGAATGCCTTGCTGCTGTGCTACTGTCGCCGCAGTTGTTTTGGAAAGCGCCGGCAATGGGTCGTCACAGAGCTCAACTTCGTTTGGTAGATGACAATCACTCGCATCGGGATTATTCCGACAATACATGACTTGACTGGCCCGCGATGGCATTTGATAGGATTGCATGACAGCTCCATCAAAGTACTTGAGTGGTGTCATGAGCCGCTGTTGGAGTTTGACTTGAACTTGTGCTTCATTTTGAAACCATTCGCGGCGTGCGTTGACATCCTTGAATGCGACGAGGAAGGAATGGGTATCAATTTCGAGTTTTCCCGTGTGCGAATCTTCGTATTCGTGAATGGCCGCAAAGCCGACGCCTTCCAAGTTGGCCACCAATTTGGCGACGCGTCGTGCTCTCGTGAGTAACTCGGGTGGATCGTTAATGGATCGTCCTCCTCCCAATGGCACGGCCAAAATGCCGTCGTCTTGCAAGGCATCAAAACAGACTTGTGCAAAATGGACATCGTCAAAAAAGACTTCGGAAAAGTCGACATCGTCTTCGGGATTGAGGACATCGAGGACAATGACATCTTGTCGTGGTGCTGGTGCTACCACGCCGCTTGTTGTCTCATTATTGTTGGCATATCGTTTCTGAAACCACTTGAATCCATCTTCATAGTACAAATTGACGCGGGGATCATCGCGACAGGAATTGGAACTCTCTTGTTGATCAAACAAAAAGTCGTGACATTGACTCCAGAGATACTTTTGTGATATTTCCACCACGGCCTTGTCAATTTCGGCCCATTCGACTTGTTGGACAGATTTATGTTTGAGAATTTCTCGCAAACTTCCGCCATCACCTCCTCCAATGAGTGTGACCGTAGTCGGATTGGGATGCGTCAATAATGCCGGATGGATGAGTGCTTCGGCATTGGCGGCTTGACCGCGTTCGCGCGACTGCAAGACACCATCGAGGTACATGCGTGTTTCGGCATGTGTATGGGAATATCGTGGATCGAGGACATTGTAAATGTGTACCGTCTGAAAGGGTGTTTGGACAAACGAGACTTGATTCTTTTGTGGAAACTGGAGTACCCCGAGGAGTGTGGTTCCCAAATCGGAAATTCCAGGCGTGTATCCATCGTCCGTGGGGAATCCGCGTCGTTTCCATGCCCAGACCGTGTTGGGTTGTTTGGTTGTGACAGAAGTGGTGGCAGTAGTAGAAGGAATGGCAAAGAGTGAATTGACATCATCGAGCAAATTGAGCAGTGAGTTGGGACCACATGTGAACAAATCCAACGTAATGACTCCTTGTACGGGCCACGTATGAAAGGAAACGTGACTTTCGAGCAGTACTCCGGCACAACTGATTCCAGCCGGCAATAGTTTGTGACAATGATAGGAGAGCATGGTAAGTCCACTCTGTTCGACGAGATCAATCATGGCTTGTGCCAAGTGATGTTCGGAATTCAAAAAGGCACCATCGACGTGTTCAATGTCAATCAGCAAGTGTTGACCGGCGGGTTCGTGGACTTCTTCTTCTTGTTGTTGTTGTTGTTCTGCGGGTGGACTAGTGTTGCTGTTGTTGGATGAAGTAGTAGTAGTAGTGTTGGGAGTACTACCAGTAGTAGTGGATGTCTTTTGTCGATGCGACAAGAGTGTATTACTACTGACACTCAATCCGGTATCGTAGTGTTTGGACGTGTATCTCGTATGCGGAAATGTCTTGTGCGGTGCCACAAAGAGAGGCGGCAAACTGTTTTGTTCTTGTCCAGACGAAGCAGAAGCACTAGTAGAGAGACCTCCTTCGACGAGGCGACCTTGATGATGTTGCAACAACAAAATACGACGCGCCAAGGCTCCCAACGCAAAGCACGTCACAACCGCCGACACAAACGACAAGACCAAAAATCGACCCGATAGAGGAATCTGGTACGGATTGGGTTGACGTTGTTGACGTTGTCGTTGTTCTTCTTCTTCTTGATGATCGTCCTTAGTATTAGATGCTGCTTTCGCCATGGTTGAATATGACAGTACTGTACTGTACTGTACTGTAGTAATGGTACGTAATGTGAATTGTGATGATGAAAAAAGTTGGCTGCTACTCTGAGCACTTGAATGAAGCAAGGAATATTCAGATGCAAAAAAGGCAAACGGTCCTCTTACTGAATGAACCGAGTGTGTTGTGCTGTCCGCCAATTTACCAAGTACAACTGGTAGGTAGATCTATTTCGAGAGATGCCCTTGTTGTTGCAAAAAATGAAGCAATTCTGCTCCTCTGCGGCAAGGATCTTTCTCTCTTTTCTATACCTTGCTGCACCTGGCAACGATTCGATTCAATGCTTCAAGTTAGAATGCGTTCAACAAGTTGTTGTGAGAATCTCAACTATGCCAGGTGCTCTCTCTTCTATTTTCACTCAGCATTGATTTGATTTGTTTGAGAAGGCTGCATCAATCGTTGGCTTCTTCTCTCGTCGTTGCTTTTTTTCTAGCTAGCTAGCTGGTAGATGCCGGGTGCCAACGGAAAAAAAGATACGGAGCATGCAAGGACTTTTCACAAATACACTGTCGCACTGTAATTAGATCTAGAACGGTACTCATCAACTCTAACTAAACATGCATTCATTCATCTTTGCTGAGATAGACAAATTAATTACTGTATCATTGGATTTCGGTACTTGGCACGTGCTGACGTAGTGCTTTCCGCCAAGCAAGTCGAGCTAATAGCTCGTGAACTACAGTAACTAAAGATCCATTTCGCAGAATTGATTGGAAAGATCATTCACTTGGTGGCAAGATAGATTTCATCTCTGAGCAGCTCTGAGCACGTGAAATGCTTGCTTTGGATTCATTCGGGTTGGACCTGGCAGGTACGAGGGAGGCACGGGTAGCCCTGGTACCAGCTGGTACTCCCCTTATGATTATCTATCTGTGAGGCATATGGTAGCATGTGGAGACCTCCAATCTTGCTATCCAGTGCTGCCGGTATCTATCTTGGTTCGAGTGCCCCGCCATTCACAGTGTAGCTTGCACGTGTTTCGCTCTTCCCACGTGATCATGGTGGATTCGATTCGATTCGAAAGCACGTGGACTACATACATTTACTTTAGTTTGGAAGGAACCTTCTACTATCATACAAGCTGTCTGGAAGTTGCTCGACATGGCTGGTGCTTCATTCCGTGTAGTAGCTATCCATGCCAGCCATTGATTGATCAGTGGCAAGCAAGGTGCGTTGTTGAAGATCATTCTCCAGCACGTGAAAGCGTTGGATTCGGGTTGATACGAGGTAGCTAGCTGTCTTGGTACCATACGGGTACTACATAGCTACTAGTGCTCCTCTTTTATATGATCATCTGTGAGGCATACGGTAGCATGTGGCTGGAGACCTCCAATCATGCTATCGCTCCTGCCAAAGTATCCAGTAGATCGGAGTGCCCCTCCATTCACACGTGTAGTTTCCCTCGTGATTGTGGTGGATTGAAAAGCAAAGCACAAGAATTCCACTTGGTTTGGAGGGAACCTTATAAAAGCTGTTATCAGTGTAGTTAGGTGTAGGATCCATACATACATCCACGCCATGCATCCACAATCTTGGCTGCACTTCTGCCTCTAAAAAGGTTCCCAATCTCTTCGAAGAGAGATCACACTTAGTGCAGGGGATGTTGCTCGTCGCCCTCACCGGACCAGGCAAACTCACGGTACTGTTCTAGCACAAACTGTCTATCATGTGAGGGGATGCCGTGCTGTACCGGCATGCTAGCCGGCCCTTGGCATGCTCCTCGTCAAGAATCAAGATGGTAAGGCGGGATCATAACCAAACCTGCCAGCACGAGGGATGTCGCAGTCCACCGTTCCCGAGGAGGCGCCAGTTGTACCATGCACAATTGTCACATTGGTCGTGCTGTAGTAGTATACAGAGATATTATTATGGAGTATGTTTTCTGCGTTTTGCGGTGTGTTTCATTCGATTCGATTCGGCAGACTAGGCGTCAAGCGGCCCCATTTTAACTCACACAGTGTAGTCTCCCTCCGTTCAGCCGCAAAATAAAAATGTCCTGCTTAGTTAGTAGGATGCTGTAGTTTCTCATTTGTCACTGCCTTCCTTGCTTTCTTCATCGTTGTAGTTGTCGTCACCGCCCTTGCTGCCATCGTCACCGCCCTCGGAGCTATCGCCACCACCGCCGCCACCCACGAAAGAATCAAGCATGCCTCTCTTGTATGCGATAAAGCCACCCAAACAGCAGGCAATCACTGCCACACCTCCAATCGCAGCGCCAGCAATCGTGGCAAAGCTACTGCCACCTTCTTCTCCTTCGCCTTCTTCTGTGGGTGCTTCGGTGGAGGGGGCGGGAGTGGCCACTACAGGCGGTGCAGGATCCACTGGACTCGAGGAACCGACCACAGACATGCCAGAATTGGGAACCGCGCTGTCCAGAGACGCTTGGAGGGTGCCCTGTTGAATGGCGGATTGCGTGTTGGTTACGAGCGCATCGTAAATGGTCTGTTTCGATTCTCCCGCTGGAACCTCGACATTGTAAATGCCATAGACAAGAAGACAGGTTGCTCCTGCTGGAGTATCGGCGGCCTGCGTCCAGCAAGCGGTGGAATCTTGCACTTGAAGCAGTTGGGCACTCGCCGGATCCAAAACTGCGCCCGAAGCGGCTCCGGCAGCGCCTGTCGGTACCGCTGTGCCACTGCTCGGGACGGCGGAAGAAGCCCCAACACTGGGGACAGGCGTTGCGCCCAACGGAACGGGAGTAGTCGCTCCAGGCACCGGAGAACCAGATGCTGGCGGCAACGTAGTGACTGCTGCCACCGAAGTGGCCAGTGTGGCGGGTGGAACCGTTGCTACGACTTGCAGAGGTGGTGTCCCAACAACCGATGGGGTAGCCGTTGCGGTTGCGAAGGTCGCTGGTGTAAGGGTAGCAGGAGCTACTGGGGCAGGAGTGATCCCAACGACAGGTGTAGCGGTTGCCACTGGCAGGGGAGCAATAGGGGCAGGCGTTAAAACTTGCACTCTCCTTCCTCGAAGATAGAACGTTGGCGCGGAATTTTCTTCCACGGCTGTGAGCTCGGTGTTTCTCCTCCTTACAACCGGTGCAAAGGTTTGTACAGCTGGGGCAAGTGTTTGAACCGCAGGCGGAACAGTTTGAATCGCGGGAGGTGTAGTTAGGACAGCAGGAGGAACAGTTTGAATCGCAGGAGGAGCAGTTTGCACAACAGGAGGAACCGTCTGAACTGCAGGAGGAACAGTCTGTACCGCGACAGAAGGAACCGTCTGTACCGCGACAGGAGGAACGGTCTGAACTGCTGGAGGTGGGACAGTTTGTACCACGGGCGGCACAGTTTGTACCACGGGCGGCACAGTTTGCACCACGGGGGGCACAGTTTGAACCGCAGGAGGTGTAGCTATGGCAGCAGGAGGAACCGTTTGCAACGCAGGAGGCACGGTTTGAACCGGAATTGTTTGAATCGCGGGAGGTGTCGTCGCGACAGGAATTGCGGTGGCCACACCTGGCACTACGGGTGCCGTGGAAGCAGCGACGACTGCTGGAGGAGTTGTGGCGGCAACCACGCCAGGACTTCCGGGAAGAGACGGTGGTATAGAGGATACTGTTGTGGATGGAAGTGCGGTTTGTCCCGGCACGACGGTGGTAGCACCCACCGAGGGCGCCATGGTGGCATTTCCGGCAGCCGCCGGCGCGCCCAAGGACGCAATGATCCCCGGTACGTTTGCTTGCACAAACTGAGAAAATGCCTGTTCGATGTTGCTACGCGTAGCTTCGGGAAGCGTGGCAGCGGTGACTCCTCCGGCGGGAATGGCCATGAGAAAAGAAGAATGGATGGTCAACAATGGTGTGCTGGCATCCGTGGGCCTGTAAATGGGAACTGGTGGTAGTGTGGTGGCCACCGCTGGCGCGACAGTTCCATTGGGATGATCAAATACATTATTGTGGGTACCATTCGCTACCCCCGGCGTGGGTACAAACGTAGTGGGAACCGCCGTCGAGACGGGTACGGACGTCACAACGGGAAAGAGATCGGCAGCACTTCCCGGTGCCAGTCCATGCTGTGCTTCGTAAATGGCTTGATCGGTACGGGCACAAATCAATTCCAAAAAGTTCATTTGTGTGGGTGTGGCTCCATGTGCTGACAGATAACCCACAATTTCAATGTCTCCTCCTTCTTCCAACGTGTTAAAACTCTGTTGCAAGGGTGCCGGCAAAGATGCCAATGTCGTGAACTGATGAAATGCATTGTTGGCCAATTTGTTGACGAATGCGATGTACTCGGCATCATTCATGAGGGCATTTCTGTCACCATCGACCAGTAGCATTTGCTGTTTGCAGATTGTAGGATTGGTTCGGATGATGGGTGCCGGGGTAGCACCCACCCCCAATGGAGCGGCTGTTACCCCCACAGGCGAAAGTGTACCTAGGGGAGCTGCCGTGGCAACACCTGGCACAGTTGCCACTGGCAATACAGGAGCCGTGGTCAAGACGGGAGGGATTGTGGCAACTCCTGGCACAGTTGCCACTGGCAATGCGGGAGCCGTGGGCAATACAGGAGCAGTTGTGGCAACTCCTGGCACAGTGGCCACTGGCAAGACGGGTGCAGTTGTGGCAACTCCAGGCACCGTTGCCACTGGCAATGCGGGAGCAGTGGGCAATACGGGAGCAGTTGTGGCAACTCCAGGCACAGTTGCCACTGGCAATACGGGAGCTGTGGTCAAAATAGGCGCCGCCGTTATCAGTCCAGGCACAGTTGCCACTGGCAATACTGGAGCTGTGGTTATGGTGGTCAATACTGGTGCTGTAGTTGCAGCGATCAACACTGGAGCCGTTGTGGCTGCAGCCGGTGTGACAGGAAGGGTTGCTGCTGTAGCCACTACTGGCGTTGTGGTGGCAACTCCAGGCACAGTTGCAACTGGCAATGCGGGAGGTGTGGTGGCCGTGATCAAAGCAGGCGGCGTAGTGGCCAAGGCGGGAACAGCGGTTGCTACTGCTGGTACAGTGGCAACCGGTGTGGCAGGAATGGTAGCAGCCGTGGCCACTGCAGCGCCTGCCGCTGATAATTGGGTCAAGATATTGGTGACATCCGTACAGAATTGATCGAGACTGGCTCCTTGTTCGGGTGATGTGGCGAGAGATCCTGGAATGCCATGAATATCCAACAGACCCGAGACCGGGTTGTAGGTTGCCGCATATTGCGTATAAATGTCAATGAGTGGTTGTGGCAACTCGGCAAAATCAGTGTAGGCTCCGGGAACGCCCGTGACGGAGGCGGCCATTTGGTTCAACCAAGTAATGTACTCGCTACCCGCTGCCATATACCGATCTCCATCCGCGTCTGCTGCCAGCATGAGAGCTTTGCATTGAAGACTGCGTGTTGCCACGGGTAGGGGTATCTGGACTTGCTGAGGTTGTACCGGTGCTTGCAGCAGAGTCTGGGCTTGGGTGGTTGGAAGACTCATCAGAAGAATCAAGCTAAGGGACTGTATCAGGAGAACATGATGTACATGTAGATACCAACTGCTGGATGATGGAGGTTGTATTCTGTGTTTCTGTGGTGATGATAATGATGTTTCCGATCTTTTGGACCTTAGCTTCTTGCCATTATCACGCCCATTGTGGTTGTTTGTAGTCATATACCCCTTGCTACCATCCGCTAAACTACCATTATTATTAATACTCATGGTCACAAGCTAAGTGTTATCCCAAAGTAGATGGACGTGATCTATCGATTATGTTTCCAAAGTAATGAGTGCAATAGGATGGCAACGGAAATTGCTGAACAAAGCAGGCTACCCTTTTATTGGCGGCTACGGAAGCTAGCAAACTGCACCATGGCTGGCCAACGCCCAACCTGTTTGCGGTGGGTGACTGCAATGCCAGTTTTGGAGAGGAAAACGAACCCGTCTATTAACTCTTTCATGACATCGCTGCAAGATACTTATTGTCATGGGTTCACCTCGCTAATGCCAGGTTACTGCTGGTTATTTCTTCAGTCATCATACGGTCGAGCCACCATCAGATCCTCGACTTTGGACAACATCTCATTTTTCTTTCGTGTCATTCCATTGTTGCTGTCATGTCTTCTCTTCTCCCTGGCTATCCTCACCGAAGACAATACGGTATGGTATCCCACATCGCATTATCAACGTCAACTACCGGTATGGAATCGAATCTACTTCAGAAATAATGAACTCTAGCTAGAGTTCGAAAATACGTAGCCGCACTGTCGCTACCGACATTGGTGGGAACGGTTGTACGGTATGGGTAGCCACTCCCAGCATTGGCATTTTGATGGCTGATCACTGGGATCTCCATGAGCCAAGACACCCCCAAGATACAATTCGTCCAAAATAACGTACTAGTATTTTGGTAGCATTGACCATGGGACAACTCCCGCCCAAATGACATGTCCTTGGGATACACGGCCGTGGTAAGTCGTATTGGCCACGGGCCGCGTGAAACTATCAGTGGTACAAATGCAAATATACATGTGCCATGCAGACCCTGCTCTGGCACATTCTCAGACGAAGAAACCCTTGTGGTATCTGGCCAAGGATGTGTTCATTCAACAAAAGGAAGTATTACACACCTTTCAAGAACAATTAATAATTAGGTCAAGAGAAATCCTCCCGATCCTTCTTTCTTCTCTTCCGAAGATCTCTGCTTTCCCCTGGGAACATGGGCCCATAGCTACCGTAGTTTTGGAATACCAAGCCCCGTCTATGGAACTGACGCTGTTGCCTTATGTTGCATTGACATCACAAGATTCGTAGAAACAAATTCAAATTACGGGGGCCCTCTGAACATATTATTGACCCTTCTTCATCTGAACACTACTAGTAGACCCGAAGTTCGGGTCTCACTTCCCAGCGCCTGACTTGGGCTAAACTACCCATGCAGTCTACTAGCTACTACAGCTGTACTAGCTAGCGACATTTATCACTCAGGATCCGGGGATCCTCTACCGGTACGGTGTGGTACCGTATTAAATTCCGGTAGCACTATCAGTTCAGCAAAGCCTTGTCTAACGTTCGTTTCGCTGCTGCTTCCACCTTTAAAAGCAACGCTGTAGTCAGCGGCTGCAAGCAACGCAAACAAATATCATTGGTAGTTTCTTTAGAGCTTAGAGTAGTAAAGATGTCTGCTAGCTGGAGAGAGAGCATGTCGTTGGATGATGGCACAGATCGCGTGGGGATCTTGTCGGACAAGATCTAATCTCTTTTAAACCCCATTGGCATACTTTGTGCATGACACGCTTTCCCACCGAAGGCGTGGGCTCTTCTGGTTCTTTGAAACCACGAACTCTTGGAATCCGCCACCAAGCCCAGAAATCCAGCAGAAACAAATCGGTGGGTGCAGAGAGTTGCGACCAGCGCACCCCCATCAAGAGAGAACAGCTCTGTTTTCTCCCTGCGCCTGTACAAGCCGGAAACTTTTGAAGAGGTCCGATCTGCGGGGACCCCCAAGGTCAACGATTGCGCGGCTAGTTGTCAGACCTAGTCCTGTTACTTTCCGCCTTTTGCAAGAAAGTACAAAACATTGATAACTTGTTGCACTGGAAGCGAACCAAAACCAATCAAAAGCGAATAACCCCAGTACTCGCCGCTCAGGCCTCCTTCTGCAACTGCAAAAGCCACAGTCCCAAACTGCACAATCAGAACCTGAAGAACTGCCGTTGTCAGCAAAATCCCGCAGAACAGCGAGTTGTTGAGAATTCCACTGAAGACGTTGCCTTAAAATAAAAAAAGAGAGAGAGAAGGTGAGTCTATGTCACTTCCTTGCGGGAACAATCAAACCAACACCCCGCCAATACTTACACTCTCCCTCTAGTTTTCGACAATTGATTTCGTTGAAAAGTTGCATCCACACAAACGAATTGAAGATCAGAGTGTAGTGTGTAGAATTTCCAAATTCTTGACCTGGCTGTGCATCTTCCTCGGTTCGGTCCTCCACTTCGTGACCCGCATCAAACCCAAATATCGTCGGTCCATAAAAGAGAAGGACCATCACGATGATGATTTGATAGGTCGCATGTCCAAGCATATTGACCCACATTCTGAAGGTGATCATGTGGTCAGTTCTGTTTACGGGAGGATGCGTTAACAATGCATCAACTGGCGGTTCCGAGGCCAGTGCAAGACTGGCCAGAGAATCCATCAACAAATTGACCCAGAGCAATTGAATCGCCGCCAAAGGACTCGTTTGGTAGACAAAGGCACCAACAAGAGCCGTCACGACCGCAGCGATATTCACAGTAAGTTGGAACTGAAGGAACTTTTGGATGGAGGCATACACGTTTCGTCCCCATTTCGCAGCGGTGACAATGGATGCAAAATTGTCGTCCAGCAGAATAATGTCTGCAGCGTCTTTGGCGATTTGCGTCCCGGCAACACCCATGGCAAAACCGACATCGGCTCGTTTCAAGGCCGGAGCATCGTTCGTTCCGTCTCCTGTCATCGCCACCACTTGCCGATCAGGGAAGATGTCAATGTCGTGTTCGGACTTTAGACTACTGCAAATTGCGGCGTTTTCGAAGAGTGTCGACTGGTTCAGTCCGTGCGCGAGGGTCAACTTATCGTCTGGTGAACTTCTCGCGAGAACACGAAGATGCGGCCAAACTTTGTCGAAGGCTTCTTGGTCAAACTCTTTGCTGCCGTCCTCGCCAGTGCGGTAGACTTCTGATCTGAAGGCCTTGCCTTCCATCAACACATGTTCCTTAAGGTTTTCTGCCACCTTGTCGCTGGTTGCAGACTCAAAATGAGAATCACGGAGGATACCAGCTTGATAAGCAATGCTCACAGCCGTATTTGGACTGTCACCCGTCACCAGACGAACATCAATGCCTGCTTCGTAGCATCGCTTGATTGCGTTCGGGACTTCGGCTCTCAGCGGATCCTCAATTCCAGCCAGACCAACCGCGACAAGATCCGTCTCGGCGACAAAGGCTTCGGTTCCATCAGAATTCTTCACTTCCGGGTGAAGGTCTTCCAAGTCGAATCCCTCTGGAAGATCTCGATACGCCAGACCCAGGCATCTCATTCCACGGCGAGCATATGACAGTGCTACGCTAGAAAATTGTTCCTTGTCCTCCGCTCTAATGTCTGTCTCGTTGCCGAATTTGTCCACATATTTCACGCTTCGTGCCAGGATGGCTTCTTGGGCGCCTTTGCAGTACACACGGTAGCCACCGCTGTCCAACGGGACGGCCCAACTCATCATTTTGCGAGCGGATGTGAACTCAAACTGCTTTCCAAGCGATAGATATTCTCCGAGCTTTCCCTGATCAGACCTCCCTTTGGTTGTTTTTCGGATTTTGTCATAGTTGGAGCCCAATTCGTGAACCAGCACCAACAGCGCGACCTCGGTGGGATTCCCCTGAGAGCTCTCCACTTTGTTATTACTGTCAATATAGAGCACGGTTTCATTCATAGTATCAATCGATATCACCGAGCAGATAATATCCACCAACTCCGCTAATATCGGCTCTGAAGAATACTTCCTCATGAAATCGGCAAGAGAAATCGACGGATCGTCCGCCGGGTAGTTGATGCCACCGGCGAAAAAGGCACGAGCGGTCATCTTGTTCGCCGTCAGAGTTCCTGCGTAAAGAGAAAATGAGATTGGGAGATACATGAGCCGTGAAAAACGTGGTAACCAACTCGACTCGTATTGCGTTCACGTCCGTACCTGTCTTGTCCGTACAAATCGTAGTGGCACAACCCATGGTCTCGCAGGCGTCCAAGTGCTTTACCAAGTTTTGTTCGCTCATCATTTTGTTAGACGAAAACGCCAACGCCAAAGTGACAGCCAGAGGAAGACCTTCCGGGACGGCAACCGCCAAAACGGTAATGGAGACAATGAGATAATCCACCAGTTTTTGCACATCATCCCCCCGGATGGCAAGACCAATAATACAACTGGCCGCAAATGCCACCACCGCCGCCACCGTTCCGGCCACACCAATTTGCTTGGCAATGAGATCGAGCTTGACAAACAGAGGAGAGTTGTCGTCACCATCTCCAAGTTCGTCTTCGTGATCGTCCGACTCGTAGACGCGTGCCCGAATCTTTCCAGCAACCGAGTTGACACCCACCGCAATGACGACCATCTTACCAGATCCCTGTACCGCCGTGGTTCCACTGAGAACGACATCACCGGGTCTCTTGGCGACCATGACGGACTCTCCGGTGAGGGTACTTTCGTCCATTCGTAGCTGAGCCGGGGGTCCGAGCAAAATGCAATCCGCAGGGATGGATGCCAGATTGTGACTATTGACCGAAAGGATGTCGCCAACGACAATGTCATCATCCGTTACAGAGACTTGTTTTCCGTCTCGAATGACTGATTTTGTGTTGGTTTCGTGTAGACTTTTGGTGAGACGGATAAAGGCAAACTGCTTGGCATAATCAATTCCCGCAGTGACCAATACGACGATACAGACGGAGCACAAGATGGCGGCTCCTTCGATCCAGCAAGTGCTGCAGCTTCCCCCGTGTGTGGAAACCTCAACGACAATACTGATGATTCCAAGGACAATCAGCATGACAAGGACAAAATCCTGGACAGCATCCCAACACAAGGAAAGAAAGCTTTCCAATTTTTTGCTGGAGACGGCATTGGTTCCGAATAGCTCTCTTCGGTGCTCTACTTCCCTGGGGTCGATGCCTCCCTGGACACTAGAGTGCAGCAGTACTTCGGTTAGAACATTGGCGCCCATGTCGGAATTTTTCTCGGCCTCTTTTCCTTCTGGTGAGTGTTCATCTTTGGCAGCTTCAGACTCTTCCGCTTGGCGTATTCGCTCTACTAATCGCATGACATCCATGCACATTCGTCTGGTCGAAGACGGCTCTTCGGCGGAATCCCCCCCTAACTTTCCTTCCTGAGCCTTGACCCCCTTTTCCAGAACGTCGGCGAGAGCCAAGCGTGTGCGTTCATCACTGAGTACCCCAAGCTGTTCGGCGGTGATGTAGAAATCAAAGTCGGACAGTTTGCCAATGTTGCGTTCGACGGAACTGGCAATACTGGCTTCGACCTTTCCGGCAAGGCCCCCAAATCTGGAATCGGAAAGATTTTGGGGCAAACGGGGGGCACCATTTTCGGTGGTGCCCGTGGGGACTTGGGCGTTGGTGCCGGCCAAGGCTGACTTTTCAAAGGCTACTACGACTCCACCCGTCGTGGCGGTCCCTGATCCCAACGTCTTGCTCGAGTTCATGCGGAATTCATTGGGATTGCCACCCGCAATGGCAGACGTTACTCCTCCATCTGAACTACTACTATGCCCGCCGTTCTTGGTAGTACCGCCGTTCACTAGAGAGCTCCCATTCTTGCCATTGGTAGGACCGTCTTTCAAATCAGTCTCTACCGTATGAGCAGGGTCCGTGGCCGCTGCTGTCTCCACGTTGTTGTTGGCAATAGTCATGGAATTGGTGGTATGAAGGCACAGAGAGTGCACAGACAAAAAGATTTGGGGTTGCTGATGAGTCCTTCAACTGCTTGCGAGCTAGCGATCCACGCCTCTCTCTATCTCTGTCTCTAAACAGATCGACTACTGTGGTTCCACTGCCACTGGAAGAAAGAGACTCTACCAATGCCTAGACTACTCTACCAATGCTTTGCTCTGCTGATCTGTCAATAGAGGATCCAATCGAGATAAAAGGCAACGGCACAACGCTTTGGATCGCGACAGGTTGTTGCTTTGCCTGCTGCCCAAAGGGTCCGCTCCTTTTTGGACGTCCGGCACACACAAGTCACAGCAGGGCGGGGGTGCGCGCATGACCCAAACCCCAATCCCCAAATTGCGTCTTGCTTCCCCCACAATTTTGGCATCTTAAACAGGCAATCTTGCCCTAACGGAACCGACTTATGTGTTTAACATGAAAAGTGGAGACACGGAGGTTTGTCTATGCAACATTCTACTGATGTTTGACCTGATGGTACGATCTTTAATGCTCAAAGTACTCTACTTAAGTATGTGAAGTGTGAGGTGAACTCTAAGTAATTAGCCAGTAGAGCTATTTTGACAAGGGTGCCATTTTGAGGACTGTTCCGTTTTCCAGCGCCACTGACTGCCAATGGCTCTGCCAATTCATTGGGATACCGTACCTACAAGGATGCCATTGAGGAATGTTCCGTTTTCCAGCGCCACTGACTAAAGATAGCTCTGCCAATTCATTGGGATACCGTCGTACCTACCAGTACCACCAGGTACTGTCTCCTTCATTCATCTAGTCTGTCTCCAGATAGACGGGTGCCTTTTCAGTTCCTCGAACACCCCCAGCTCGAGCCACATCCAGAATGTACGGGCTTGCCTTCCGTGGCAGCAAATAGGCGTTGTTGCTACCTGTATGCAGACGGACTGTGGATGAACTACTGTACATGTCGCCGGCAAGGATTTGGACATCATCAAACAGCAACTCGATAGCAAAGGATGCCAGCATTGTTGCTGGGGCGCCATGACAATACCGGTACATGGTAGGGTTGTTGCCAAGCAATCAAGTGCCCCCTACCGGTACCGGTATGGTATGCAAGGCACTTTCCAAAACCTCATCAGCCTTGTTTATCACATCCCATCAAATCACTACTGTTCTGTAGCGCCACAAGTTTGCTTAGCAGCTAGCCAGCGGTGGTACAGGTTCCACTGAAGAAATACTGGGTGGCAGCATTAGCTTGTACTTCAGAGTAGGCGGCAAAGGATTCACTAAAGGATCGTGACTGCTCGATCAAAATACAGGTCCCTTTTTGGTTGACACGTCCAGCCACAACGACAGTACATGTAATGCCCTTCTCCTCTGATCTTACCCGCACCATAGCATAGTTCCCTCTAGCTCATAGTAAGTTCTTCATTATGGAGTAAACACAGAACTGCAGGAAACCTTTTGAGCACGGAGAGCTTCGGTTGCGCCAGCTAGAGGCTGGGTTGAGCAACCCGTTTGCCCGCGGCTGGCTTTGGTACAGTACCTGTTGACCGTCCTACCGTACTCCCAAGTTTTGAATGCTGTTCTACATCAATGTCTGTCGATGTCTCCATTGCCCCAGTCAATGCCAGCTTGCTACTGTAGGGTGCCATTGTCTCAATTGTGCTTTCGATTGTGAGGTTACATGTAGCTAGCTAGTAGTTGAGATTATAAACTAGTAAAATTCTGGTGTGTCCCTTTCTCCCCGTGTACGTACATGCCTAGTCAAGCATGTCATGTCATTCTTTTTCTTTGCAGATTCAGTTGGTAGTATCACACACACAACCACAAGAGCAAAAGTAACAATGCGCCTTTCCACATTGTTGACACACAAGAACATCATCATGTGCTAAATAATAGTCATCTGCCAAACAACAAGGCTCACATCCAAGAGACCGGCCGCAATCGGGGCAGTTTACGAAATTTCGGCAGGTGAAACAGAAAATCCCATCACAAGCGTGACAAAACTCGTGTGGTACACAATCTTGGCACGACCATGCATGGCAATGGTCGCAGTATTCCAGCCCAATGCCATTGTCCACGCAGGAACGGCAGGCCATCTTGCCACATGCAGGCTTGTCGCATGTATTCATATTATCGTGCACGTGGTGAAATTCTTGGCAAAAAGGGCAACGATCATAGTCATATTCGACATGGACACAAACTTCGCACTCCATTATTTCTTTCGTGGCAGCAGCATTGGCGGAATCGCTGTCAACCTTTGTCAACCATGGATGCTCCTTTTGAAGCTCTTCGCGAAGAGCCTTTTGGCACTCCAGCTTGCTTCCATGATCAGAGCAGTAGTAGCTTGTCAATTGAAAACAATTTTCCACCGCAGATACTTGGATGCCACTCAAAACAGATTTTCGGTCCAAAAAGCTGAATATTTCTTGGGCCATCAATTCGGCTGTCAATCCCGACGAAAGCAGCGCTTCAGTAGTGACAGATCCGGTAGGAGCGCCGCTCCCATTGTTGCTGCCGTTGCTGTTGCTGTTGTTCATGGACTCCATGGCTGAATGAAAAAGAGAGAGAGAGGTTTTGTTGCCGTCCAAAGTAACGATAGTTCTTGCTGGACAGGACCTTCCACAACAAATATTATGCGCCTTCACGATCGAGTGACATTCTTGCCGAACGCAAACTGTCCAACAGATCTTCCTTTGAAGATCCAATGCGCCGAAAGCATTGCGGAAAGTTCTAAAATCCAAGGTAACCCAAACCCTAACAGTGAGAAAGACTTTTGCTCTTTGGATGATGAGTTGGTGATGTGCGACGATGACATCTGTCAAGTGCAAACGGAATGAAAGCTATTGGGTCGATTGTGAAGATGGTGATGGCTACAGTACCGGTACCATCGTGAGATACTCCACTTGATGCTGTGACTTTCGTCTTTTTATGACAGTTAGTTGCATTAGTCTATTTTGACAAAACAGTTCCTGCTACCAGCTAATAGCTACCTCGATCACAGCGGAAAGGAGGCGCATGAGCCGATGGAGACCTCGGAGCAGGAACACGATCATGTGGTTTCTTGGTCTCCTGCTACGTCTATTGCCGTTGGTGGCTCAGACAAGGCCATGCGATGGATTTAGTAGTATCCACCACTACAGGACTGGTACTGCCATGATTAGCAGAAGCAAAATCTACATGAACTCCAAACCTCCACTGCTCCTGGAAGAACAGGACAAAGTCATGGAAGGACGACAGGAAATGGCACATGATCAGAGTGAAGAGGAAGACAAGGAAGATAGCATTGCCAAGTCAAACCAAATAGTATCCAATGATCCGCCGAAGCTGACAATGCCAGAGATTGCTGCTGGAAAAGAAATAATAGCAAAAGGGGCAATTTCAGAACAAGCACAGGATGACGACGTTTTATTATTATCCAGACGAAAATGGCTGCAACAAGGTGCTCTACTGGTACTGGGAGGAGGAGCAGCTCTTGCTGCGGCTACAAAGCTGGAAAAACTATCACCACCCAAGCGCAGGAGACCTTTTGTGCGCTTGGAGCCACATCCCCACAGAAGAAAAACCAAAAATAACAATGGTCCATCCGCACCAACTCCCTACAATACATCGGCCATTGTCCGGCCGAATGTCACGGCGCCAACATCTGGTGCTGATTTTATCAAGTCGGGGGGAAATGTGACAACTAGCACGGCAAACACCAAGTCAACCAGTACCGGTACCACCGCCAAATCCAATACTGCTACTACCACCACCAAACCTGGCACTGCTACTCCCACCAAATCCAGTACTGCTACCAACACCAAACCCACCACTGCTACCAACACCAAACCCACCACTGCTTCCAGTTCAAGCAGCAACACTAACAAGGACATTGCACCAGTCAATTTCACAAAGGTCGCAGCGGAGAACTCGATCAATATCACCCTTAAGGATTGCAAGGGAGGGTGCGTCCGAGTGGATGGAACGAGTTTTCAAAAGGTCAAGACACCGTCGGACTTTCCCTGGTTCTTGCCCCAATTCTTGAAACCAGCGCCCAAAATCATCAAGGATATCCCCGATCAAGAAATACTACTGGCCGCCACTGCGGCAGGATCCGTCATTGAAATGTTCCGAACGGTACTACTGTACCCGTTGTCCACCGTCAAGACAAGGATTCAAACACGACAACAAGAGCGACAAAAGGTCCGTCGTAAAATGAAACGATTTCAAACCAATTCTACCCTACGACCACGGAGTACTAGTAGTATGGCTGGTACTAGTGCACGAAGTAGTAATCAAACTCGACCAGAAAGTCCTCAACAGCAACAACGAAAGATGGAAAAGTTGCAATTGGGGCGACGTCTTCGAGTGCTCCAATTGAACATACGGAGGCATGTTGCCGAAGGCAATCTATATGCTGGTCTCGTACCATCGCTGTTGGTCTCGGTTCCTGCCACGGGAGCGTACTATGGTGTGCGCGATGTTACCAAGCGAATGCTTACCATGGCACCGGGGTTGGCCATGAATGATGCCACCATTACGCTTTTGGGCGCCCTTGTGGCGGACGTGGCGTCCCTCATGATTCGCACTCCGGCGGATGCCCTTGCCACACGATTGCAAGCAGTAGCGGCAGCGTCCATTACGCCAACCGTGAGCGCTGAGAATGATGACACTGCTGCTGTCCCGAACAACAATGTCACAATAATGGGGACTATACAAAATATTGAGGCAACGACGACTGATCGTGAACTCGTTGTTCCAGTCGCCAATACCACAATACCTTCAACGACAACGACAAATACGTTGCAGCTTTCAACGGAGGTGTCAGATATGGATCAAGGCCATGAGGAAACCACAATCTCTTCGAACAGCTCCATCTCTTCGAACAGCTCCATCCAAAGCATGGATGGCCTCATTGCGACTGTCTTGCCAGATGGCTATGAGCATCAATTACTACTGCATTTGCAACGAAGAGAAGTTGATGTCGCTGATCTTTTCAAGGCTGCTTGTTCTGATCGAGAGAAAGAGAACGACAGCAAAATGTCTGTGATGGACAAACGACAACTGAAGCGAATGGATCGAAGATATCGAAAGAGTCGTCACAAGCATGACATGGGGCAGCGAACGGAGAATGCTCCTGTTAGTCAAATAGGAGAATACAGGACAGCCAAGGTCATCGTTGCTCGAGAACCGGCTGCATACTCCCAAGACTTCCTCGGTGGCGTAAGGAACGAACGAGATTGGAATTTGATCGAGAGATGTGCGGTGGATGGGGTCCTGGAAAACATGGTAGTCGACTGGGATCCGGTAATTATCAAGATCAAGGCGATGACACGGAATGCCACAGCAAATGCAACCAATACTCTGGCCAACAGCATAGAAGCCCTAATGGACCCTCCCAATGGCGTGCAGCCTTCTGTCCAAGATCAGGTCGGCAGCGTCGAACGTGGATCAGAGGAAGAGCAAGTCGACAAAATTGTAAATGCTACAGCGGAAATTGACACGCCACCAACGGATGACGTGGATGACATTCGAATGCCCGAAGACGAGGAGAAGCAGCTCCTGAAAGATTTGAACGAAGACAAGGTGTATCGGGAGGATTGGTTGAGAGAGAGTATCGAGCGGCTACCAGCAATTATCATTACGGATCTCCCGTACTTGCTTTCGCGAATCGTTGTGAATCGCATCATCATTCATGGGACGGTCAACATAGGACAGTACGAAGTCGCAACTATTGGCATTGCCATGTTCTGTGCCCTCTTGACAACTCCATTTGACGTTGTGAGGACACGGCTGCTGGTGGAGAATGATGTCAAGGACGAGGACGACAACATTGTCGATTTCATGGCCAACAATGAAACCTCATCCAGTAGTATCGGCAACACTACTGTCCTGATTCTCGCCAGCAATACTAGTAGTACCGCAGAGAGCGCTTGGGCGACGGGATCTCGTCCAGGTGGTGTGTTGCAAACGATGATTTGCATTGCACGGGAGGGTGATGGGGGCTTCCGCAACTTGTACGCAGGGTGGCTGGAGCGGACGGTATATTTTGGCATTGGGAGGGCATGGTTGGATCCAATCAATCTGATTGGGTACGTTGGCATTCGGGACACATTGCTTCTCAAGCTGTTCGATTGAAAATAGGCATGCTATAGAACTATTAGTACCCGTATGGCTGAAGTAAAAACTACACCCGTGGATCTGATTGGGTACGTTGGCATTCGGGACACATTGCTTCTCAAGCTGTTCGATTGAAAATAGGCATGCTATAGAACTATTAGTACCGGTATGGCTGAAGTAAAAACTACACCCGTGGATGCCCTCCACGAAATGTAGAGACAACTGGCTAGATGACGCCTCCAAAGTATTTGACAGCAATAGATGTACTATCACGGCAAGCCCAAATGGCAGCTGGTATGTATTGTTATGTTATGAAGCATTCGATGAGACTCCTCCCAGCGCTTGGTTCCTGATTGCAAATACAAAAAGAGTCCATCCAAGCAGGCAAACAACACTTGTGACTCACTTTCTACAGCATTTTCTTGGTGTAGAAATCACGCAACAACTGCACAAATATAAACATTGTCACGGTGTGTCCTCCACAACGCATGTAGTAGGGAAAAAAGCCATTGTAGAGTGCCATGACACCTTCGTCTTTGGCTACCTTGGTCAATGTCTGCACAATTCCCTTGTAGGGTAGATTTCCCGCGGCGTCTGGTTTCTGACTGGCCATTCGATTTTTGGAAGCCTCCAAGGGCATGGTGGCCATGGAATAAATCAATCCCGATGTCATGGCTGCCGAAAAGACATTTGGGATGGAATTCTTTTTTTGATTGAGATAGGATGCGTACATGTCTTTGAACTGATCCAAGGTTGCTACCTGGAATACCCCGACCATCATGGCACGGGCTACAAATGGGTTGGAACCTCTCCAGAATGCCCCAATTCCTTCTTCTTTGACAATTCGTGTGGCCGTGTCCACGACACCTTTGTAATTTCTTCGTTCCTCTACGGGCAACGAAGAGTCGTTGGACATTCTCACCACTGCCACTTCCATGGGACACGAAATGTAGGCTGCAATTCCACCAGTAATGGCACCGACTCCAACGCTGATATAGATACGATGGCAAAAAGGGTAACACGGGCAAAAGAAAGGTCAACTGTTAGAAAAAACTACTACTTAACCCATTTTTTCAATCCCAGACCAGCATCACACAAATGAATGAATACGTAAACAAATAATATGAAATGCAAAACTAAACTCACCGAGCTGCAAAATCAGTCTTTCCACGAATTTGATGGAGTTTATCCCGAAATGTTTCAAAGAGTCCAAACCTGGAACTGGCATAAAAGACTTGACGAAGAACCCCCGCAGATAATCCATCATAGAGAGACATGAGACCCTGCTTTTCCACCATTTTCTTGAAGGAAAACGTCTGACCACTCATGGATGCCAAATTGCTGCGTACGGCCAGCGTATTGGCAGGATGCACAATGGCCCATCCCATGCATCCACCCAAACCAGATGTCGCAAAGATCACACTTTTGGGGAGATCGGATGCTTTGGCGGGAGCAGGAGCTGCTGCTGCTGCAGTTGTTGCAGCAGAGGTCGCCAGTAACAGTGGAATTGTCATCTTGAGGTAGTTATTTTTGAGAATGGGGTGAAGGAATGAATAGTAGTAATTGCAAGATAATGAATGGCTGGGGTATCGGTAGCTTCAGGAAGATAGCTTGACGAAATGAATAACAATCCAATAGCTTTTCTCCAATGACAAGAGTACTACTGTAGCTAGTATGGTTACTCTCAGTTCCACTCTTCTCCAATCAATCCAATGCCTCGTCGATGATTGCAATTGGATGCTGTTCGCTTCACTCGCAAATTCATGAATGAGGGTGGAAGATCTTCGGGTCGGCTTCCCTTCCTTTGCAAAGCGTTCTCAAGGACGCTTGTCCACAATCGTGACACGGTGACGTCAGTCGGGTGCTGCATGCTGCGTCATGCTCCTGCATTTCAATGATGCGTGTTGGGTCTGACAGATCATCGTGGACGACGCATTCCACGCTGCCAGAATTTTGGTGATATCACTTGCTTCTTTGGTGCGTACTGTAGGTGTGAAGCCTTTGGTAAGCAGAGGCTCAGTGATGGTGTCAGGGATGCTCTTGATCATGTTGCTACTCACCTTGCCCCATTGGCCAAGTTCACACCCATTCCTCCTCTAAGCAGTTACGGTACGGTACACGCGAGACCACATGACTCGTTGGCCATGATTTGGGCCTGGCCCTTCAACCCACTGCTATCCACGCTCCAAAACCACAACCTGCCCCCTTCCTTGATGCCACAATCACCAGCTCCCCTGCACCAGCTTGGACCGGACCGGATCTGCTACCACCACCATCCTTCCCCAGATCCACTTCCAGGCAAGAACCAGCCAGGCACTGTATAATGATAATTTGGAGTAAGTAATCGAGCCCGAGAGTGGACGTTGCTTGACTTGTTTCAGTTAACTTAGGAATTACGTTGCTTGACTTGAAGGATTGGATCTTGCTGCCGGAAGTTACGAAATGGGCCAGGGAAATGCTTTACCAACCAGTTGCTACCGTACCTAGCTAGATAGCTTGCTACATGTAGGTAGTTGGTGGGCACACAGAAAGGCAGAGCCAAGTCGAGTTTTTGCAGTGCGTCCGTGACTGTGGGTGCATTGCATACCGGTAGTTGAGTCCTCGGGACAACAAAATAAAATAGCTTCCGTCTCAAACGCATCCCTACTAGTTCCATTCACTGAGCCGTAGCTTTTAAAAGATATCCACTGATTGTGGTTGCTACATTGCATACTAGTATGTCCAAACAGCTTTTATCAACAGTATATATAACTCGTACATGTCGTGTGGCTGGATGAATTTCGCAATACACAATCACGGTGGCTGACTCGAGGTCCTCTTGCCAACATGCATGCATCACTCTATCATAGCTACCAGCTACCAGCTAGTAAAGGCAAGCAATGAATGAATGTGTTTTTAAAAAATTAATTACCAGGATCCGACAAGGGCACAAATTCGGTTGGACTGCTAGTAGTCGATAGTACAGTGTACAAGACCAACCCGAGGACCCCAGCCACAATTCCAAAGAGAATGTATGCGACAATCAAGGCATCCTTGCCCAGGACCCGTCGCCCCCGAGACGACTCTGGATTATTGTCTTGTCCAATAATAGTGACCGAATCGGACCCAGTCCCAAAGGATTCTCCAACAGCAATGCGCCTCCAAAATTCAATAGTGGCCCATGCAAAGGGAATGACGCCTGCGACAAAGACCCAAACGTCCGCATTATTATTGGCTGTGATCAGTTGTGGTGGTGTAGAAGCATCCGAGAGAAGCAACCACGACATGTCTTGCATTCCAAGTTGAGTGGAGGTGGATGACGACTTGGTGAGTAGTTGTGAATGGCGCTGGTGCAATGTGGATGGACGGAGCATTTTTGGAGATCCTACTTGTATTCGGTTGGTTTGGAATCCTTGCACGTCCACAACAGTTGTGGTGGCGATCAGTACCACCCCAATGATCCAGCAGGGCATGATTCTATTGACAGCAACGGAGCTCTTCATGATGGCTTCAGTCTCTCAGTCTCTCAGATATATATCACCTCTCCCACACACACTGACTCTCTTCTTCTCTTGTGAGAACGGCGGGACCTCATTTTCCTCATTTTTGTTGGGGGATGAACAGTCAGAGGTCCTGGACCAATGTACGTCCATGCCATGGAAAGTACTGTAAACCGCAAAACCATTGTAATCCCTCCAAGACTTAAGAGCTTTCTGTTTGTAATAGAATTGGTACGTAGAAAAATCGCGTACCACTTCCAGTATGACCGTTGCGTTCAGCGATTCACAAAAACTCCAACCCTGTGGTTTCCGTTGGTTGCTGGGTTGCAATGAGAACCACCGACCATGGTCAAAGATTGATGTACTAGTACCGGTAGTATACGAATGCCTATGTTGTTGTCTCTATCGGTGTAGCTTTTACTCCGCACTGTAGTATCATTCCTACCAGCAATACAACTACTAGTAGTCTATCTTGTGGCTGACAATGATGTTATCTACTAGTACATGTATGCATAGTAGCTCCCTTGACTGTTCTACGAGACGGCAGAGGAGACTGCTTCCATTACTGTTCCTGCTGTGTTGCCATTATTTGGTGTCGGGGGTATCCTCCTCCTCTCCAATATTTCCTGAACACCGAGCATTACAAACCGAAGCTCCCACAGATCCTCCATTATTCAACGGCACTGAGAATAGTGTGCATGGTGCTGCCAGTATTATTGAGACAGAGCCAACAGCGACAACCAGTGTCCCGACTGCTACCGCTACTAGTACTAGTAGTACTAGTACTAGTACTACTACTAGTACTAGTAGTAGTCTGTTGGATTTACCTCCTGCGGTGGATATCGCCCAATGCTACAAGCACTTGCAAGTGGTGGATGTGGATCGGAACAATTTGTTGAACGAGCAAGAATACGTCAAATTTGTGCATCAGATTGTCGCCTACTACGACCGCAACATTAGCTTTCACAATCATCCCACGTGGGGCAATCGACTCGACGACTTGCCACTGGCCGTACAAGTCAACTACGATCATCTCAATCAAGGTGGAGCCATTGAAATTCTCGGCTATAGACCTAACGATATCGGTACCATTGTGCAACAAGATGACAGTAACAGCCAAGAAGAAAAACTCTTACGACAACAACGATTCCTCATTCAAGTCTGTGTGCATACCGAAGTTGCTGTGCATCAGGTATTGACTCATGCACCCCAACAACCCATTCCCGATGTCACTGTCGTCGCGGGATATTCTTCGTTTGCATTGCACAATACAGTCGGCATTCGCAGTCAAGACTTGATGGCACATAGTCACAATCGCAAAGCACTCGATCTGGCGTATCCCGCACTCGTCACACAAGTCGTCAGCGAGAAAACGGGCGTCTCCTTGACCAATCCCGCCTTGACACGACGACGACGACGACGACGACAGTTGACCGTCGCCATTGATCCACATCGACCCCAAATCTATCGCATCGACAATGTCGAGTGTCCCGGAGTCAATACTACCGCAACACCCGCCGCACTAATTACCGAATGGTGTCAAGAAGCCTTCGGGCAGTTTTTGTTGTATTATATTTTGGTCGGACAACAACCACAAGATGTCGACGAGTATTCGCAAGCCGTGCAAGTGGCGACCGAGGAAGGACGGTTACAACAAATCCTACAACAGATTGATCCCACGGCGGAAGTGACCGTCGTGGGGGCCGCCTCGAGTATCAAGGCGCCCCCTCCCACACCGTCTCCCACGCATGCGCCCCATCCGGTGCCCACTGCGGCACCGCATACCCTTACTGTCGTTACGGTGGCAGAGGAAGAAGAACCGGATGACAATCTCGTTCTTATTTTCACATTGGCGGGCGTCTTGATGACGATTAATTGTTGTATCATTGGCGTATCCATGTACATGTGTCTCAAGAATCGCAATCAACCCATACTGGACGATGACGATGACGATCTTCCCGAAGACTACTATCGACTGCAAAAGAATCGCAAGAAGAAACTGAAAAAGAAGAAAAAACGCAGTGGTCGCTTTGACTACGATCCCAATAGTAATAGAAGTGACACCCAGTCCAATCCACCCACATTGGAAGAAATTGAAGCGGCCAATACCATGCCAGTGGACGACGACGATGCCCGTCAACGAGACCGCATCATGTCGGGGCAGCCATTGCCGGCTGTATACGAAGAAGATGAATCATCTTTGCCCGTTAGTGGCGGCCAAATGGCGTAGTTCCATTGCAAGTGGAACATCGTTCCGTACCGTACATACATACAACTAGAGGGCACTCACCAAACAGTGCCAATTTTAGTAGCCAACTTAGTTTTTTCATAGCAGCTTTTGATCTTTATAGTTAGACTATTAGGAGAGTAAGAAACAACAATCCAGAGGGACAGCGGTGACACCAGAGACATTTTGTCCGCACGCTTTCAGGAAGGCAAACTGCTCCTTGCAAGCAGGCACCGGGCTGGTTCCCATCAGGTCCATCGATCACCACGGCTTGGCAATGGTGCTGTTGTTGACCGTTCGTTCCTCAAATCAAAAAAGGTCGGGCTCTCCTGGAGCGGCACGTAATGTCGGGGCTTTCTCCGGGGTTTGAATGCTTGGTTTGGTTGGTCAGATGGGTGTTTTGGATTAAAAGAGACACCTACACGCATGGGTCCGGAGCCTTGCTAGAACAGTGGTTGAGGTAGTATGAGTCTTGGTTGGTCCCTGCTCCTCACGGGGGAAGAAAAAGAAGAAAAGTGAGGAGCAGGGACCAACCAAGACTCATACTACATCAACCGCTGTGCTAGCAAGGCTCCAGCCCCATGCGAGGGACCTTCCCAATACTATTGTGAGGCTAGAATGACAACTTCCTGCTCATGCAACTTCCTGTCTGGGGCAGGGGACCTGGGGCGACCTGGGGCGGGGATCCAGATCCCCACCCCCGGATAGGAAGTGGCACGAGCGAGGAAGCTATCATTCTGGCATCACAATAGTATTGGAAGGTCCTTACATTTGAAGATGAAGTCGTCGTGCTGGTAGGAAGAGAGCCGATGCGAGTCCGAGCCCGTCCGAAGAAGTCCAACACATCGCGATGATGCTGTAGCATGATGCCTGCCCGGCCGTAGAGAATGGAAGATAGCGTAGATCTTGACCAGAGTGAACCACCAAAGGAAGATAGCGTAGATCTTGACCAGAGCAAACCACTGCAGGAATGGAGCAGCTACCAACCGATACTTGAAGATGACTCCAACATGCCAACCGTAGATGATGAGGAACACGAATGCCATCACACGAAAAAGCAGTGCCCTTGCATCGCATCGCACAGACCGAAAGACAGAGGAAAGCTGAGGAACCAAGGTTGCATTCGAAGGAATGTCCAACTGCATTGAGATCGATCCTGCAAGAATAGATATAGAGAGCAGAAACAGAGTCAGACTCGAGCTAGAGAATTTGAATGAGTTGTCAAAACAAAGAATAGTACACATTCGCTCGCAATCGAAGTGGATGGATGGATGGACCCTTGGTTGGTTGGATCGTAAGTGGGTGGTAGGGAAAATAATGGTAGATGGTTGGTTGCGTCACATTGGCTGGGTGGGTGGCGTGGGTCCATGGTCATGAGCGAATGTGTACTGTCCTTTCATTGTGTAGACACCACAGGAGCGGGGACAACGAGCGAACAACCCAACTTGAAGGACTTACCATTGTCAAAGATTCGAGAGGGAGCAAAAGAGCAAAGACGAGACGTACCACCTACAAATGACATGACGCCAAAGGTTCCAACCTTAGATGAAGAAAGCAAGCGCCGCCACACGAAAAAGCAGTTTCCTTGGAGGGCAAAGACTGAAAGACAGAGGGACCAAGGTTGCATTCGGAGGAATTGTTGAACTGCACTGAGATCAATCCTGCAACAATAGATAGATATAGAGAGTGCAAAAACAGACTGAGACTTGAGCTAGAGAAATGAATGAGAATTGCGTGCCCCCTGACCTCTGGTATCAAAACAAAGATAGTACAGTACACATTCGCTCGCAATTGGTTGGTCGGTTGATTGGTTGGTTGGCTGGTTGGATCAAAACGGATGGATGCACGTTTTGTTTGGTTGTATGGTATGGTTGGATCCGAAGCGGATGGCAGGGAAAAGGGTGCTAGGTTGGTTGGTCGCGTCGCATTGGGTGGGCGGGTGGTCATGAGCGAATGTGTACCACTGGCCTTTGGATGTGCAGTCACCGCAGGAACGGGGACAACGAGGAAACATGAAAGGACTTACCATTGTCAAGGATTCGAGAGCGAGCAAAAGAGGAGACGTCAGAGGAAAAGGTTGTGTTTAGAGAGAGAGCTTGCTGGTTTTTGAGGCAACCCGCTCGAGACTGACTGACTGACTGACTCCTTGTTTCGTTTCAGCTAAAGCTTTTGACTAGTTGATATCAAAATTGTGATATCAAATTGTGATATCAAAATTCAAAATCATCTTCGTACATGTAGGTCTAAAGGAAACGCCGTGTTTTGAAGTGGGTGTGCTGTCATTGAAGTTTCGAAATGAACCTGAAATGTGGTGAGGCAAATGCTCGCGAGGGCGGTTGTGACATATTTCGAGCTCCTGGCTGTCGTATCCTCATCCCTGTCGTAGTCGCTTTTGGAAAAGCAACTCCCAAACGTTACTAAAAGAGATAACATTTCGACAAGAAACAACGCCTCTCACGTCGCAATTGGCCATCATTGATTCGATCAAGCATCCGTTGCAAGCCACGATGATGAGCCTCTTGTTTGGCTGTTGTCGTCTCTGTCTGGTTTGGCTATGCGTGGTGGTAGCACCATCAAGTGTTCAAGGGCAAGATGATTTGACCTTGTCCAACCAAGCGGCCAATGCCTATGAAGAACCGTTGCCCTACACGTACGTTTCTCCCTCGGAACTACCTCGCTCCTTCTCGTGGGGAAATATCCATGGGAGATCTTACTTGACGAGAACGTTGAATCAGCATCTTCCCCAGTACTGCGGCTCTTGTTGGGCCCATTCCTCGATGAGTGCCTTGGCGGATCGCATCAAGATTCAACGGGCTGTGAGAGGAAACTCTGGCTGGAACACCACAACCGACTTTCTGCTGTACGGCAAGGAGAACAAAGAGAGTGCAGCTAAAAGAAGAACGAAGGCCACCAATTCTCGTGCATTATCGTTGCCATCAGAGGCAGATGAAATCAACTTGTCGGGTAAGTTCCAGGCGATGTACTGGTACCTTTGGTGGGCCACCTAGATGGTAGACTAGTCTAGGAATACATGGTTGGTCTACATCTCCCACAGTTTTACTCATTTATGTTGTTCTCACGTTTCTGTTCTGCAATTCCAACATCTTTCATATCATATCATATCACCACAATTTGCTTCACTACTACGGTACGGTATAGTCCAATTCCTGTTGAATTGTGGCAATCTGGTAGCCGGAAGCTGTCGAGGTGGATCCTCTGCCGGTGCTTATCAGTTCATCAAGGAATTTGGGTTCGTCCCTTTTGATACCTGCCAATCTTACATTGCATGTTCCTCGGATTCCACCGAGGGCTTTTGTCCCCACGTGGATACGTCCTGTTCCCCACGGAATATCTGTCGGACTTGCCATCATGGTAACAATCAAACTTGTCGTGCCATTGAACCTCCCTGGATTCCCAATGCCACAGTCCACGAATACGGAACGTACCACCACTCCAACGATTATTGGTCGCATTATATCGGTACTACCAATGGTCACGTATCCAATGTGACTGTCATCATGGCGGAAATCTATGCTCGAGGACCGGTCAAGGCATCGATCAATGCGCTGGGAATCGTGGACTATGAGGGTGGTATTCTCACCAATCAATCCAAATACTCCCTCAACCGGACTCACAATCACGGAGTGTCACTTGTGGGATGGGGACGACAAGAAGAAGGCATGCCATATTGGATTATTCGCAATTCGTGGGGTCAGTATTGGGGCGAACTGTCGTTTTTTCGATTGCAGTTGGGACAGAACTTGATGGGTATTGAAAGCAACATTGCGTGGGCTACTCCAGGGCCATTTACTGGTGAATAGTAGTTTTTTGAAACAATGTCAATTGCAGGAGCATGCTTAAAGGCATGTATACAACCAACCATGGAGCCTTTTGGAGTATCCAGCACTCAGGCCGGAACAGAGTGCAGTGGCTCGACTCAGTCAGATCATCATCTTAGCCTGGCTTCGGGGGAGAGTGCACCTGTACCGGTATATCCAGCAGGATCTACCGTACCGGTACTGCACCTCCACTCTCTGGTCATGAGAATTTGCACGGTTTTGGGCTCTCTTGAAAGCTTGAAAGTCACGCTCGTTCTTAGGAATGCCGGCGTTGAATGCAACAGACGTGCTGATAAGCAAGCATCAAGCAGCAGACGTCTGCACAACAAAAACCTACAAAGACCGAAGCATCCCACGCCATCTAACAATGCCATCTTCTGACTCTCTCCGGGGCTGTGTTGTCCGTGTGAAGGTGCCAGTTCTTGTGGGCACGCAAAGTGTTGTTAGAACAGTCTCTGCTCGAGTTCTTATTGACTTGTCAACACGTTTTATTGTGCTAACAGAAGCAGAATACACGGAAGGGAAGCCGATGCTGTTCTCCGTTGAAGAGGAGCGCACGTCGTTGGCCACCCAGAAGGTGGAGAGCGCGGCCATGTCGAAGGCGGAATGTGTCTCGATGCTTGCCGCCTTCCTTGCCACCAAACCTGATGTCGACTTGGTTGGCGTGTACTTTCCTTTCATGGATTATGTGCGTCAGGGAGAGCTTTACGGAGAGACCCACCAGGCCATTGTCCTTTACAATGCAGAAGAAGAAGGGACAGCCGTGATGTTGGCGAATTTCCTTAATGGATATCACGTTGAGCGGAGCGATCGAATTCCACTTCAACCCAACCATTTCATGTTGGGTGGGCAGGTTGCTCACAATCCACCCGTCTCGTCAGGTGATGTTGATGTCGTCAAGCTCTTCTCTCTTCCTGTACTTGATGGTTCTGGGAATGACACATATTGGGATTGGAAGATGAACAAGCGGGTTTTGAAATTGCGTAATGGACACGGCGTCCGTGATGCGATTGTGCAGCGCCTTTTGGCTCTGGCTGAATCGGATCCTTTGGAATATGTTGAAGTTGATCGTGAAAAGGTGGGCAGAGTTCGGGCTTCTCAAGTGCTCATTCAACGCCGCGATGGCGAATGCAGGCGTGTTCATCGTGTTGTTATTATGCAATCAGGCGTCTAAAGAGGGACGACATCCTTCGGGCAAGCCGTGGTGATAGAAGCAGAAATAAGCGATGGGATAATCAACTAATATCTAATTGACAGGAAATGGTGGTGTCTTCACTAATCATTATAGAGATAGACGACACGATCAGCGCAAATTCCATTCACACCATGCTTTGGAACACGCCTGACGACCTCATCTTGGTATGAAATCCAAACAAAGCCAAACGCAAACCCCATAAAAAACACCATGGCAGCTACCGGTCCAAGAGCTGAACATTGGTCCTTTATACTAAATGATTGCGTACCGGAAGATTTGGACCTCCTAGCTAGCGTCTCTCGTCACCAAGAATCTTGACAATGGAGTTGATTGAGTACCTGATTTTCGCAGCAAACGACTCAGGTGTGCCGTGTTTACAAGGCTTCGTCAGTTTCAAGCGGCGAAAAAGGCCGCCCCAGGTCAAAAGCCGTGATAGGCGGCAGAGTCCATTGCCAACCGGTGTTACCCTACAGACATTACCTAAATTGCTTCAAGAAACACTGAAGTGCTTTGAATTTGGCACCAGTGAAACCAGATACTAAAATCCAACGCCGTGATGGGTCACGAAGTCTAAAAGGACTACTAGTAAGAATATTAACGCGAATCATAAGCCAGGTGCGCATACGCACCCGTATTATAAGACTGGTGTCAATAGACACCTGTCTAACCTTAACCCCATTTTAGACCCCTCAGAATCTACTTTCGCTGTTCAACTATGCGACCAATGGAATCTACGCGAAATTTGCGTTCTTTTCCATGTGCGGTTCGTCATAATTGGACTGAAACTCGAGAATCTACGAGGTGCCGAAAAGTTGGCTCATTTCGCTGCAGCACCACAACAATCGAAGAGCTGAAATGGAGGGCGACAATGACATTGAAGCCGTCGGCTATAGCCAACAAGGAGACCTTGGAGGCTCTCAGTATGTACAACAAGAGCTCGTGGATGTGTCCCAGATGGCTGGACCGCCAATGCCAGTGTTAACAGGGGTTGGTACTCAGCAGGACGAAATCGCACAAACTGCAACAGCCGTCAGTCAACTCGAAGACAGCCAAGAGCCACAAACACAAGACACGCAGATCACACAACAGAGGAAGAAGAAAACAAGGACCAGGCGAAGCTATGCAAAGAAATACCTTGTTGCGTCCAGTGACCTCTACTTGAAAGATGACGCTCGAATCAGAGCACAGTTTGCGCACGATTTTCCAGATGGTTTGCTTTTGGATGGTCAAGTCGCAGTTTGCCCAACAGCACAGAATGGCAAGCTCTTTACAATAAGCTGGAAAACAGGTGAGACTGGTGTGTCTGTTGACTGGGTGGAGAGGGTGTTCGCCCAGAAGGATTACCAGGAGCGTATTTGGGAGGCCATTGTCGCATTCAAGCAAAGAAAGGAACAAGAGCAAGAAGCAGAGGAGCTCCTCGTGGCTCGAGCTGGGCAGGAGGAGGAAGAAAACACAGAGCTAGAGCAGGCCACACCACACGAAGCTCCCATCAGGCTTGCAGCTCTCCGAACGTCAGCCTCCACTGTCAGTTCACTATCCAGTCGCAGTCGTACGAGTAGCTCTATGGCAAGCTCATCCACCCGCAGAGTTCAAGTTCAAATTGAAGTTGGACGTCAGGCAAGAAATACAAGGAGCAATCCAGACCTTTCATCGGATAGTGAAGAGGAAGCCGGTGACGTAGACGAGGGAGACAATGCGTACTTCAACCTACCAGAAGATTCAGGTGTCTTGTTGGAAGATGAAGTGATCTCAGACTGTGAAGCTGACGCTGACGCTGGTAATGAAGAGGAAGGTATTCTTGAAGGTGGACGTTTGACAGATTTGTTGAACCAGTTGCTGTGGGACTTCCGTGAGTGTGATCCCAGCAAGGAAACTTTGTCTTGTCCCGAGTTATCAGACGCCACAACAGAGCTGAAGAGGGGTGTCGCGAACCGTTTTGACACGCCCCTTGAATGTCTTGCTATTACCACAGGACTGGATGATGCCTTTGTAGCCTGACTTGCACGTAACTCCAACCACTATGCCGAAGCTTTTATTCTTCCACACAAACGGAATCGCTACTTTCACAACTTGAAATGGCGAGCAATCACAATTACGGAGATGATGCGATTCCTGGGAATTATGTTGAAGATCTCCCTATCGCCAGTGGATGGAGGAGGGTACACGGCGTACTTCAACCCCGAAGAACGTCCCATCATGTTCGACAGAAACATCCGACCAATCAAGATCAAAGGATCCCAGGGATTTGCTGGTGGGATTATGTCGTTGAATTGATTCAGGCAGATACTTGCAGCTTTCCATCCTGAAACCAAGGTGCCGAATGATACAGATAAGTGCTATCAGCTCAGACATGCCATTGACACCTTCAACACCCATGTAAAAAGCACATTTGTGATTGGAAGAGATCTTTGCTTCGACGAAGGTGGCATTGGCTGCCGTTCCCGATTTTGTCCAGTCCGGCAATACAATTCGAAGAAGCCGCAAAAGTTTCGAGTGGATCTTTTCATTTGCTCTTGTGCCGCTTCTTATTGCATTCTTCACCTTAATGTTTACCAGGGAAGGAATGTGACGGAAGTGGGCATTCACAAGGATCTTGTTGGTCTTCCGACTACTCAAAAGGCACCGATGAACGCCATGTATGCTCTTGGATTGCATTTGGATACCTCATCTGCCCCCAGGCATATGGCCCTGGATAACCGCTACATGTGCCCTGAGCTTGGGGTATTGTTGCGTGAGAAAGTGAATGTTTATGCAACAGGTACAACCAAGTCGCTCCGAAAGGGATGGGATAGGAAACTCATGGATATGCCGAAAACAGCCAACCGGGGCAGTTACAAGATTGCCGTTGATAAGGTCAACAAGGTGGTGTGCATCTGATGGCGAGATTCGCGAGTGGTAAACATGGTGACTACTCTTGGGGATACATCAATCACCAAAGTCAAACGTCAACTTGGACCAACGGTTACAGAAGTGGACTGTCACATGGCAGTAACAAAATACCAACAAACTATGTTTGGAGTGGATAAGGGCGACCAAATCCGTGTGCATGGTGGAGGCTTCGCCAATAAAGCTCACTTCAAGAAGTGGTACAAGAAAATCTACCTGGGAATCCTTGACTGCTATCTATTGAATGCTTACATTGCTTGGAACATGGCAGCGGCTATTCCTCGCTCAACCAAACACAATCTACACCGGCACGAGTTTTTTACAGTTGTGGCGGAACAAATGATGCTTTACTTCCGGAATGAAGACGACGATGACGTTGGCATTGGTACCAACACTGTGTTGGATGGACATTTCAGAGCAGCGCAAGAACAACAGAATACTAGTCACTATCCAGTCGCAAAGGAGGCTGGTCGCCGGAATGTTCGCTGTGCAGTCTGCAAGTTGGAACGTAACATGAACAAAGCAATTGGAGAGAAGGGAATGGCACAAAATGTTGTTATGTGTTCCGATTGTCCCATTCCGGCACACAACCATGTCGTTCGAGATGATGCTCATCGGATTATCCACAAGCGAAGCGAATTCAAGAACATGACATGCTTTCAGATTGTCCACAGTGAGGCTGGTCAACGATTGTGGAAGATCTGTAAAGGAGGCAGCGATCGTGTCCAATATAAGCCCCAACAAATCGATCCAATCTATCAAGACTTATTGCAACACCACACGGGCGAAAGAACTCGAAAGCGAAGGAAACACAACAATGATGGCAATAATGACGAGGACGAGGACGAAGAAGAAGACACCCAAGAGGAAGAAGATGACCGCGTGAGAGCAAGTGCAAATAACTCTACAGGAGTGTAAAACGTAGGAGCTAAGACTAGCTAATAGTTTACATGTATTCCTTTCCACAAGTGTCACTAGTATTTGTTATTCTGTTTCTACATAAACTCTCTTGTCGCCGTTTTCCTAAATCGTTTTCCTAAATCGCCATTGGCTTCTTGTCGCCATCCTTGCTCTTGTCGCCATTCTTGCTCTTCTTCTTGGCTGAAACCCTGATAGGAGACCAGTCGGGTTGACTGCAATAGGAAGGAAGCTCAGGCAAAGAGGCCATGGGAGGAGTGGGAGGCGACATATCATCAGCACCGTCGTCATCATCATCATTGTCGAACTTTTCAGAATCATGACTGGCCGTCTCCAACAAAGTGAGTTCTTGTTGTTCCTCCAACATCTTCCTCTTCTTCTTGGGCTTGTAGCCAACATAAGGTTGTCCCTCCGGATTGGGGTGCCTTCCTCTAATGAATGCCAAAAAACAAGCAGGAAGTGGCTGACGATTGTTCTTACCAACAACACCTTTCCAGAGGCGAAAGCCCTCACGGTACAGCCTGTATCGAATTTCATGAGGGCGGTATCCAGCTTGGCGGAACTCATCCCCAATCTGGACAAGGATGTAGCCACTGGTTACCATCTCGCAGGGCATGCAGTAGCAAAACGAACAAATCTCTTCATCTTCGACAGATGGGTCAGACTCCAAGTTGGCGTCAACAGCATACAAATCCACAACTTCAGCCTTATGACCTTCCGGATTCTTCTCAGGAGAGGGAAGCTCAGCCCCCGCAACAGCAACAAGCTCATCCTGTTTGGCTGCTTCCTCATCTTCCGTGGCTTCCTTCCAATCAATCTCGTTGTTGACATCATCAATCTTGCCTTCCAGCTCTCTGGCGGCCTTCCTCACCATATCCGCTCTCTTCTTCAATTCCAGATCACTTCGAGCTTCGACCACAGCCGTCTTCTTGGTAGTAGGAATGCAATACACGGCTCTTAGCCTTATTCGCGACTCGATCCTAGATAGGGTTTGAGTTCGACTCATGAC